GATCCTTCGAGGAGCACGGTCTGGGTAGGACGCCAGTGGAGCAGCACCACATTCAGTTGACGGAGGGGGCACTGCCAGTGAAAGAGCGTTTTTATCCCGTGTCGCCGGCAGTGCAGGCGCTATTGTTTGCAGAAGTCGACGAGATGCTTCGGCTAGGGGTTATCGAGCCAAGTGAGAGTCCATGGAGCAACCGAGTGACTTTGGTGAGGAAGCCTGGAAAGAACCGGTTGTGCTTAGACGCGAGAAAGCTAAATCAGCTCACGGTGAAGGATGCTTACCCACTCCAGAGCATTGAGTCGATCTTGAGCCGAGTGGAGGATACCATTTACATCAGCAGCCTGGATCTAAAGCATGCTTTTTGGCAGATCGAACTGGATCAGGAAAGCCGGCAGTACACCGCGTTTACGATACCAGGAAGGCCACTGTATCAATTTAAGGCCATGCCGTTCGGGTTGTGCAATGCGGCGCAGCGCCTTTGCCGGGTGATGGATAAGGTGATTCCCCAGCGTTTGAGAAGCCATGTATTCGTGTACCTGGACGACCTTCTCATAATATCCAGAACGTTTGAGGATCATTGCAAGGTGCTGCTGGACGTGGCAAGTGCTTTGAAAGTAGCCAATTTGACGATTTCCTTAAAAAAATCCAAGTTCTGCTACAAGTACTTGAAGTATCTGGGGTTTGTGGTTGGCGATGGTGCGTTGCGGACGGATCCAGAGAAGGTCGAGGCGATTCGGGCGATTTCCTTGCCGACCAGCGCAAAGCAGCTCCGCCGATTCTTGGGGACCGCTGGCTGGTATAGGCGTTTCATTCGGAATTTTTCCACGATTTCCGCGCCGTTAACGGACTGCCTGAAAGGGAAAGGAAAGTTCCAATTATCGGGCGAAGCGGTTGCGGCATTTCAGGAGTTGAAAGGGGCACTCACCTGCGCGCCAGTGTTGGTGCATCCAGACTTTCGGAAGCCGTTCGTGATCCAATGTGACGCGAGCCAAGCGGGCATAGGAGCGGTTTTGTTCCAACTCGATGCAGACGGGGCCGAAAGGCCGATAGCTTTTTTTTCAGCGAAGCTTCGGGGCGCTCAGCTGAGCTATAGTGTCACCGAGAAGGAATGCCTGGCTGCAGTAAAAGCGGTCGAAAGATTCCGGCCGTACGTTGAATTGATGCCGTTTAAGGTGGTGACTGATCACGCCAGCCTGCGGTGGCTGATGTCATTGAAGGAGTTGGACGGTCGATTAGCGCGGTGGTCGTTGGCCCTGCAGAGGTTCGACTTTAATATTGAGCATCGGAAAGGCAAGGAAAATATTGTAGCCGATACCCTCTCACGGCCTTTCGAACTGGAGGAAGTTGATTTTTTTGATTTCGAGACAACCGAGTTCGAAGGTGCGGAGTATACCGAGCGGCTGAAGCAAGTGCGGGAGAACGCGGAGCTATTTCCGGATTTACGCGTGGAGGATGGGCTGTTGTATAAGCGGGCGCAGTTCACGCGGCCCGAGCGAGAGGAATTTTCCTGGAAGCTCTGGGTACCGCGTCCTGTGTCCGCAGCCCTTATACAGCAGGCCCATGAGAGCGACGCGGCTATGCATGGGGGCATGAAGAGGACCATAGAACGGCTCAGGCAGTTTTTTTTCTGGCCCGGGATGGTGGCACAGGTGAGGAGGTACGTTGCCGGCTGTGAAACGTGCAAAGCAACAAAGCACAGCACGCAATTAGCGAGGCCGGTAATGGGCGCCGAAACCGTATCGCTCCGACCAATGCAGAGGCTGCATCTGGATTTTCTAGGGCCGTATCCGAGGTCCAGGAGAGGGAATACCACCATTCTGGTTGTTCTTGACCATCTGTCCAAATTCGTGTGGTTGCGAGCGATGCCAAAAGCAACAGCGGCGGCAGTGGTCCGGTTTCTGCAGGAGGAGGTGTTTTCGGCATTTGGAGTCCCAGAAACCGTCCATACCGACAACGGTAAGCAATTTGTGGCCAACCAATTTACGGGGTTCCTGCAGGGGCTGAGCATCACCCACGTACGCACGGCGAACTATGCCCCACAGGCGAATGCGGCGGAACGCGTGAACCAGACAGTGTTAGCGGCCATCAGGACATATGTACAGGGCGACCACACGAAGTGGGACGAGAAGCTCTCGGACGTGCAGTGTGCAGCACGCAGTGCTATCCATGGCAGCATCGGCACGTCCCCGTATTTCGTTTTGTTTGGGCAGCACATGTTCACCAGCGGGAAGGATTACAAGCTGGCACGCAAGTTGGGGGCGCTGGAGGATGCGGAATTGCGCATGTTGCCCAGATCGGATCAGCAGAAGGCAGTGCGGGATGAGGTACAGCAGAGTGTCCACCTGGCATATGAAAAGGCGAAACGGCAATACGATAAGCGTGCGAGGATGGTAGCGTACGTACCTGGCCAGGAGATTTACAGGCGAAACTTTGTCCTCAGTCGTTTTAAGGACAACGTGAACGCGAAGCTGTGCCACAAGTATGTGAAATGCCGTGTCCGGAGCAGCGTGGGCAACAGCCTGTACGAGTTGGAGGACATGCACGGGCGTCGGTTGGGAGTCTTCCACGCCAAAGATTTAAAGCAATAGCTAAGGCCCGGCTTTGTTCGTCGGTAGACCGAGAGACCCATCTCAGGGTGTGGGCGGTGGCCTACGTTGGGCAGAGAAAGAACCGCGGCGCTTCTCACTCCCGTTTCTTCCGTTTGGCACCAAAATAAAACCGGAGTGTGGTGTTATGTGCGGCGCGGCAGTATTGGGAAACCACAAATGTCGTCGGACAAAAGGAGTGGCAACTCGCGCGATTGGCAGCTGGAGCGGGCCGATAACAAGTACTCGTGCGTGAGGGGTGAGGACCAGTGCTACCAATTAGGAGGGTTGCAAAGTGGGTAAAATAGCAATTCCGGGGGAATGGCAAGTCGTGGCCTTAGGGAAGAAAAAAAATCAATTGTGGACAGTGAGCGAGAGACACGTGCTATTGCGGGAAAAAACAAAAAAAGAGACAAAATAAGCGGAAGACAATATTCAAACACCGGAGTGACGACAGGAGGGTTGGGATATACACCAGCGAGGCTTCATAGGCAGAGGAGTAGCAGTAACTGCGGGCGTTCTGGGAAGTGCGCTGTGCGCGGGTCAGCACCGACCGGCAGTACTGGGTCTTAGGCCGGACCTCGGCCCTAGCGGAAGTCAGGCCAATTTCCATGCAACTGGAAGTCTGGGCTAAGTACCCTTCAACATTAAAATACTAAATATTCACACACATTCCGCTCAAACATAGAACCAAAATTTTATATACACCCTACATACATATACATAGCCATCTCACATACACCAGTGCAGCATATAACACAAAATTCAACTAAATACTCACACATATTCCGCTCAAACATAGAACACAAAATTTTATATACACCACACACTCCTTTATATACACTCCATACATGTTCACATACACCATATTCAAACACACACCGAATTTCCATAGCACTCAGACTCACATTCATCCCATAGCCACATAATGTAAAATACAAAACAAAAAAACAACACACAAAACAATTAACAATTTTCTGTTACACACATAGCCCAAACCATTCACAACATAATATAAAACATTAAACAGAAACACAACACCCAAACATTTAACCATATTGTAATACACACACGCCCATAGCCACATAATGTAAAATACAAAACAAAAAAACAACACACAAAACAATTAACAATTTTCTGTTACACACATAGCCCAAACCATTCACAACATAATATAAAACATTAAACAGAAACACAACACCAAACAAGTAACCATATTGTAAACAAAAATTCAAATGTATACTTAAGAAAAAAGAACATAAAAAAAAAAGAAAAGTAAAAGAAAATGTATAAAGTCTAATATAAGCAAAAGAGGTTGGAATGTGTATTGGAGCGGCGCAGTTTTTTTTTTTTGTTTATCTCCTTGTCATTACATATCATTACACCCCTCATAACCACATACTCGAGTATAGGTAGGTTAGGAGGTTCGAAAATCGAATAAGATAAATAGGCACAAAGAGCCAACAAACTGCAGCGTCCCAAAACTCAATGGCCTAAATACCCGAATATATTTTTATTGTAATAAAATTTAAAATTTGAAAATGAGTCTGGAGTAGAATCCATTTATGGGGTGAGATGGGGTGACTAAAGTCCCGGAGCAGAAGGGAAACCAAAGCAAGCATGTTGAAGGGAGCCGGCAACAAAATGCCAAAACCGGCTCAAGGTAGGGAGGGCCACGCGGCTACATGACACCAAAGTAGCCACAACTCCACCCAAATTCCACAGGCGTCCCTCAGCCGACAATATGAGTAGGTGTGTTTGATAAAAAAATATAAATTCATTGTTGGTCTGCCGCACCCCTGTCGCGGTCGAATCTGACCCTGAGCCGATGGCTAGCCGGCGTAACGACAGGGGATGCACTGGCAAAGGCGGACATAACAAAATACAATGCGTGAAAAAACGTCATCAAGATTAGGGATGAGGTGAGGGAACATTCACCAAAAAAAGAAGCCTATCGATAGGTGATTGCTTATCGGTATCGAGGAATGCTTCAAAAGTGTAGTATAAAAAAATACTCTAAGAAATATTTACTGTAAGTTAAGAGTATGGAGATATTCAGATGACCTTTACGTGTACTTTTATTGTTATATTTCTAAGTACATTAGTCAGTTAACAGTAGTATGTATTAATCTTGCCATACCTGTTAACATTTTTAAATTTGGGAAGCAATGTAAATAAGGTTTGAAAACTAATTTCCAATTTAAAGAATCAAAAAACCAAATAAATTGAACACATTCCACAAAATGTAATATATATTTAAACCTTTCACACAATAATGATGTAAATGTAATGTTCCATTGCCAAATAGGAACTACTGATACCTAATAGAATGGATAATAGATGGGGTTAGTACTTATGTATATCAAATTCTTATAAACTTTCAATTATAAAAATGGAACCAAATAATTGAATGTTACATTTGTTTTGTATTATTTTTTTATTGTATGTAATTTTGTGAGATATTTGTTGGTTTTTTTTTCGTAGTTTTCGAGTGATATGCTTAATAAAAAGCACTTTTTTAAACTTAGTAACGACGCTTCTCATAAAGGCGGACCAGATCATCCGTTAGGAACCAATTTATTTTAAAAAAGATTCTTTTCATATGTTGAAATACTTACTGTTGTTTATAATTATGATGCAACCATATAAAGGAGAAAATTACTTTTTATATCTACCGGACTGGAACACAAAAACCAATTTTGTATTATACTATATATATGAACTTGGAGTTTATTTTTAATTTTAGTTAAACTTTATGCTTACTAGCTGAATGTTAAGAGCAACTTAAGACTTGCATAATGTACATTTTGCAAAAAATATTAAAATTAAATAAATAAAAACACAAAAACAACAAGGAAAATTTTTTAAACTTCACTAAAACATATTGCTAACGATTTATCCAAATCGTTTTGCAATGGAATAATACGGCACTGCCCACAGTCCCCTCCTTGAAAGATGCCAAGTAACCACATAATCCCGCATTTTCTAATGCAACCAAATCTGGTCGTGTATATCATCGTTAAGCTGCTCCGCGGGCAGCGCCCTCAGTGTGCGTAGTGTCTCCATATAGAATGTCAGCTCTGATGTGACCACTCCATGCTGTGGTCCCCCGTTGTTATTGATGTTATGCTTAAGGAGCTGCTCTCGCAGCTTGTCTTTGAAATTGCGATGCACCACCGCATAGATGGCATGTATCTGAGGCTCCGGCAGCACTCCTGCTATGGCCTCATGAAGCTTGACAAGATGCCTCGAGATGTTGCGAAATGTTTGCGAAGGTATTGGTGGTCGGGCTTCCCATGCCAGCAACTGTTGACTTACACGTTCCGATACGATGCCGTGAATTTTGAGCTCAATTTCCTTAATGTGGCCATGGAAGTCCTTTTCGATGGCATCGTAGCCGCTCACCGAGGAGGCATCTAACGCCTGGAAATGTTCACGGAGCTTCGGCAACAGCCACAGAACCAACTGCAGGGCACGGGACACTAGGGCCAAGTTGGTGGAGGTAATTGTCTTAAGGCCGGCCACACGCATGGCACCCGCTCCAATAATAAGCTGACAGCTGCGCGAATTAAAAGTGCGCAACAGGTCCACCACATTGCGTCCATGGTAGCTGGCCAGCAGCGGCAACTTCTGTACCTGGCAGCCATACATATACAGCATTTGAATAAGCAACAGAGCAGCGCTGACCAGCGTATAGGTTTGTTTGCTCTCGAGCAGCAGCACGGGGTTAGTTCCATTCAAGCCATGACCATTGCTTAACAGAGCATCCTCCTTTGGCTCTGTGTAGTCGCCGCTTTGCATACGCTCCACCATACGCTGCAGTTCTTGAGGCACATCAACCTGACGCCATCGTTCCTGATCCAACAACAGCCCCAGTTTCTGCTTACGTTCGGCATGAAAACGTTGGGCATAACGCGATACCTGCACTTTGAGTGCAAGTTGTAGCGGCACACTGGCCACTCCACAGATGGTTTCCGTGAATTTACTGAACTGCTGAACTATTTCCGTCAATTGCTGCAATTGGTCCATGTTAGCTATACTCTGCTCCAGGCTCTGCGGTGTCACAATGTTGGCACATCGCTCATGACAATAGTGGCAAACAGCCTGAAGCAATTGCTGCAGTTGGGCACGCACCTGTGTGTGATGCGCCTGACTGAGGAAGGCCTCCGAATCAATGAGATTGACTGCATGCTCGGCATTGTCGGCATTAACGGTCCTACTGATGCCCATGCCCGCTGCTGCATCCGTTGTCTGCTGCATTATGTAAACTACTGCTTTGATACGCTCAAGCACAGCGCGCAACGTTTTGCTCGCCGCCTGTAGTAACGCAATCCATTCGTCCAGGGTCAAATTTTGTGCTTGCTCGCCGGCACCAGTCAATGACAGATCCATATCACTGCGTTCCAGCAGCTCAATCAGCAGCTGCTTGATAATGGCCCGCATGGTCGCCATGGCTTCCTGCTGATAGGCGTGCACAAAGCTAAAGTTTTGCTTCCGCAGCAGGCCCATGACAATGGCCACCAGTTTGTCTTCTTCGGCGCAGACGCTATCCGTTTCCATTTCTCGCCCATCAGAAGCCAGTGGTCTGTTTAGATCTGTAGCCGCGTAGCGTTCAAACTCTGTGCTCAGCATTTTATCAATTAGCTTTTCCATCTCGTGCAGCTGCATAGGCAAATGCTTAAAGCAATGTACGCCGATCAGCTCGGCTGCTAAAATCTCCTGCGTGGTACCAATTAGATCTAATGCTGCTACATAGTCCTGTGTTCCCAGGAGCAGTTGCAGCATCGGTTGCGTCTTGTGCACAGTGGCCATAAGGCGAAGCTTGTCCAGCGTCTCGCTGTAATGCTGACGCCGCTCTGCATATCGTAAAACTCGAAAGCTGTCTACTACCGCATTGCCATGCAGCTGGGAGAGCGCCATGCGAAGCTGACGCACTTGCTCCGCTGCCTGCTGCATTTCAGCCATAATAGCATGTTGTGTGGTCATAGCATGAAAGAAGGCAGCCGACTTTTGCGAAACTTGTCGGGCAATCATTACCTCCACAATGTCTAGATAGTGTGAGAGCTGTTCCTGCAGCAGCCGACCTGTTTGTTGACGCTGCGCCGTCGTCGAAGTTGTGCCATTGGCTTCCTTGCTGCTGGAATGCTGCATGTAGCCGGGAAATACTTGCGCGAAGGTAGGTGCATGGTGGAGCTGCAGTTGCGCCTTCAGAAAAATCTCCGGCACAGCGCTAAGATGTGTTGGTGTTGTTGTCTCTGCTGTCGCTGTTACCAGAGACCGCTGCTCCTGTTGCTGCTGGCGTCTCTCATGCCATCGATAACGCTTGCCTATGCTGGACAAATAGGTTGCAAAGTCAGCATGTGTTATGTCTGGCAAATGCACTGTAGGTGGTACTGGTGCTCGCTCCACAAAGTGTTCGCCCCATTTTTTTGTGAAGAGATTGCTTTGCTTGCCCCGCGACGGGTCATTGAGCACGGCGGGCAAATTTTGTGCTGCTGAATACACGCACCATTCAGGCGGCATTTCTCGCGTCTGCTGATTAACGTGGTATTTGGACACGTGCGCATCGTAGTCTCGATCGGAGACCCCGTCCAAGGGCAGGGAGGCACACACGCCATTAAAACCATAACGGCAGACAAACGAGCCACCCTCGCGGGTGCAGTGTCGACTGCGCAAGTGACTGAGAAGCAAAAGTATATAATTAGGCGGATTTCATATGGATATCCCATATTAAAAGAACTCACTTTACAAACTCTCCAATGCTATTGAAATTTTCGCGGGTGCAATAGTAACAGGTGTGCCAACTAGGCGCTTTTGCTGAGGCTCCTGTCGCCCCAGTAGATGCAGTGGAAAGTTTCCTGTTGACTGCCGTTTCAATTTCCCTGGCAGTTGTTGTTGTTGTGCTTGCGGTTGCTGTTGTTGTTGCTGTTGATTTTGTGGCCATAACACATGCTTATTGTTCAATACCTGCATATTAAATAAACATAATGTGGGCAACTAATACACCTATGTTTAGTATTTAATACTATTACCTGGCAGCCGCAGTTTTACAGTGGCAGTCGTTGACGTGTTTAATGTGGGTTATGGTTATGTCAATACTAGCTTTATGTACGCATATGCATATCGATAAGACGTATATACATACCAGATCTTGGAACTAATGTATATATACATGCATGTATGAACATGATATAGACTTCGGGAGCATATTCAAGAGCAGATTCCATAAATAAAAACAAAAAACAACGCCATCTTTGGATTACTCCAGCTCACTCGATATTAGCGATAACAATTCCGAAATCGATATACCAACGTACATACATACTACACGCTCAAAGAATCTTTGAAAAATATATTTCTAGAGCCTTAAAGTTCTTTAAATTTTATTTACTATAGAAGGATAACGTGATTATATTCGAATATTTATATCTTTATTAAATAAATTCCATACGGAAATCAACACAGCACTAAACAGAAGCAATCAGTAGTATCGACAGAGTTCCATCTCAAAGTACTCGTACTCGTGAAAATTAGTAAAAACATTTCAAGTAACTCGCAAGTAAATTTTATAAGCATTTGAAATCGAAATGGCGCGCAGTAAGATCTGGAAGTATTATGAAAAACTTGATAACAACTGTGCACAATGTCAGTTGTGCGAAAAAATTATCAAAACGAGCGGCAACACATCTAACCTGATGAAGCACATGAAAACGCACCCGCAAGTGTAAGCGTCAGTCCGAATAAGTCGGCGGTTCAATGTTAAGTGTATCTGTATCTTGTTTTTCTAGAGATGTTAATGACACCGAGAGCGTTGTTATTCGAGGGATTTATAAGCGCGAAGCCGATGCTGTTACTGCAAAAAAACGCAGTAAGAAGCTCTCAAGTCATTTGCACATCAAACAGGAGGATGGACAAATAATCAAAGCAGAGAATGTGGATATTGGCGAGCAATGCGAATATGACAGCTTTGGCGATTCTCGCGTAGCCGTAGCGGTAGACAGCGCCAAAGAGATGGTGGAAGATAACTGTAGGACTTAGCATCCAAGTTAAAAATTCATTATTATTTGTTAATTGTGGTCCTTCATTTACATTTTTTCGCTTATATACGCACTGTTTCTACAGTGTCCTGGCCTGCAGAGGTGGAATCGGAGTCTCTCGATGGACAAGCCACCGTTATAGCCGACGATATCATTGAGTTCGAGCCCAGTCTAATGGGCGATGGCGAGCAATGTGAGGGAGAGACGCTTTATCAACTGGAAGAACTTCCTCTAGCCAATTTAGAGGAAGTGGAAACGTAAGTTTTAGTTACAGAAATAATTCCGTTTTACTAACTGTGCCTTTCCAGGTACACAACTAAAAACCGACAAAATGTACAGAAAAACCTTGAAAATGATCAATTAGCATATTTCGTCTGCCGAGACAAGCATCCGCTGGAAATCATCCAGGGAGATGGCTTTAAGCAACTGATGCATGCGTTCTGCCCCATTTATCGGCTGCCTACCGTGGAGCAATTGAGTGTGCATATTAATAAACTGGCCCAACGGCAGACCGCAGTGCTACGCCAAAGGTTTGCTAACCTGTCCACGATAGCGCTAAGTTGTGCCATTTGTTCAACGACAACAAACGGTAACAGCAATAGCAAAGCCACCCGCCTCGATGCACAACAGCAGCTGGAGTTGGTGGCTCACTTTTACGAAGGAGACAATTGGCGCTCGCGAACGCTCATTGTTCAATCGTTGCCGGTGCATTATAATGCCGGCAATATTGTGGAATGGCTGGATCGTACCTGCAACCGTTTTGACATTGACAAGTCGAAAATTGTCTGTGTGGTGACAAAGAATAGTCGCCTGCTAGAGAATGCGGTGGCGGCGCTTCTTGGTGCTGGCAGACATCTGCCTTGCTTTGGTGAAATACTGGAGAGTGTGTTTGAGATGGTTGTACAGAGACATGAATTCGCCTCGCTATGTGAAAAAGTGCGACGATATGTTTTGTTTTATCTATCAAGTAAGTTGAACCCCGTATTATTCATATGCCATTGCATTTTGATCAATTTATTTTTAAGTACTATCCATCAGCAGCGTAAATCATGTTTTTTCATCTAATTTTTCTTTTAAATTAAACATGTAGTAACTTATTTAATTAAAAGACTTTTCAGTGTTTTTAAATTTCTATTTATTCAATATCTCAGATTACAATAAATAAAAATGCAGTACGATTTTATGGTTTTAGTATTATGTAGGTTTTCTCTTTATAAATGTATAAATGCCAACACACCGAGTAAAACGCAAAATAGAACAAATATTCAATTATTTTGATCAACTATTTCGATGAGATTCCCCTTAATATTGCTTTAACGTTCAAAACTGAAATTAAAGTATGTGTAGTAGAGAATATTCTGAAATACTCGTAAACTGAAGTATCGAAAAAGTGAGTAGGACCAGGGAGGTCCAATATTATGTCAATACGATTTCTTGGGTTCACTTGAATGTTGAGTATTGATAAAAACTTTTGATAATTAAAACGCTTCCTCTTTTTAGCTGGTGTGCCATCCATGCAACTACAACTGGAGCTAGATGAAAAGCAACATCCCATCACTACTTATGAGATGCTCGAACGCTACGTCCAGCTTGCACCACAACTGGACAAATTGCTTCGCAGCCAACTGGATGCGCCGCCCTCGTTGACGCCCATTGAACTAGAGATATGCCATCACTTGCTTGCTGTGCTTAAGCCACTGGCCAATGCAGCGCGAGAGCTGTGTCGTCCGGATACATCCTCTTATCCCAGCGCCAGCAAGGCTTTGCCCATTGCCTACACCATAATCAATGAGTTGAAACAATCACGCAGTTCTGAGCACAAATATGCGTATGAGCTGCGTTTGTTTTTGGTGCGTCAGCTGGAGGAACGTTTTGAAACCATGGAGAAGAACATATTCCTTGCTATGGCCAGTCTGTTGGATCCACGATTTCGTAACATGCCCTTCCAAAGCTCTGCATTGGTGGCGAAATATATGACACAGCTTTATGACCAAATGCAGCATCACGAGGAGATCGGCATGGAGACTGCATGTACAGCTGAAGATGATTTTTGGACTGCCTATAAGGCATTATCGCATGAAAAGCACAAACACAGCACCGTGACCAGCGATTGCGACGATGAGATTGCCACGTATTTCTGCAATAACATCAGCAGCTTGCAGGTCGAACCCATGTTGTTGTGGAAGGATTTGGCGCAGATACATCCGTTTTTGTATAGTTTGGCAAAGAAATATTTGCACATACCAGCAACAGCAACGCCGCCTGTAAGAATATTCACTTCGGCCGAGGCAGAGGTGGCGATACAACGCGAAAAACTAAGGGATGAACAAATGAACAATATACTGTTTATGGCTGATTGCACAAAAGAGGAATGGCAGCTATGAAGAAATTTTCTGTTACATGTGTATGTATTTATGGTAAGAATTTTGTTTGTAAGCCCTCATTATACTCTGTACAGGAAATGTACAAGAGTATATTAGGTTTGCGGGAGCTGAAAAATGTAACAGGCAGAAGGAGGCGTGGCAGACCCCACAAAGTATATATATTCTTGATCAGCGTGACGAGTCGATCTAGCCCTGTCTGTCTGTCCGTCTGTCCGTCCGTATGAACACCTGGATCTCAGAGACTATAAGAGATAGAGACACCAAATTTTGCACAAAGATGCCTTATGTGTGTACGCTATACGAGTTTGTTTTATTTTTTTGATTTCCCCTCCCCCCACTTCCCACCTATGGGGGTTTTCCAGATTTTCCATTCGTATAATCGCCTAGGAACACCAAATTTTAGTCCCAGGTGCTTTATGTGAATACGCAGAAAATGTTGGAATTTCTCTCCCTCCGCCTCTCCCCCGCAAATCGTAACTCCCGTAATTCTTGTAATTTCGAAAAAATTTTGCAAATTCCCCCAGTTAGTAATTATGTGTCCGTATGCCAAGTTTCACTATGATAGACCGATTTAACAAGAAGTTATAGCCATAAATATATTTGCGGCTGCAGCGCTGCTCAAGCGAATAGATGCGCATAGGCATACATACACTCACACAGACGCAATTGCTATGTAAATGTGCAATTATACCCTTTACGTGAGTTCGAATACCGAGAGAGGTAAAATCGATCAAATTTTTTTATTCTCTATAATTATTGTAAGCATATGTACAGAGTATTTCAAAGTCGAGACACCCGACTTTAGCTTTTTTACTTGTTTTAATATATGACAACAATTAATTTATACTAGAAAATTATACTACATTAATAAATGAAGCACTTAAAACCAGTTTTATCGGCTAAGCTTTCATTTCCACACAATTGCGCTCTTCTCGTTGTGGTCGAAAACGCGTGATTCTATTATTGCGGGTAAGACATTTGCTAATTGATTATCGTTGAAAATACTCAGCCTGTAGCAAAAGAGACTTCAGAAAGTAATTGATTGTTTAAATGGTAGTTGAGACGGTTTTGAAAACGGAAACTTTCAGGTGGCTTGAATAGTAAATCGCAATATGCTGGAAATGGTAGCACGGCTATATATTGTTTTTATTTTAAATAAACTTGTAGTTTTATCCAAAACCCAGCTCCAGTAACGAAAAGCTACCAGTATATGATAGATCCTTTAAAGCGACACACATTTTTCTGACTTTTTTCGATGCAAAAATCATATCTCCTGAACGAAAAAAGTTTTAGTTTGAAAGATAAATATTTAATAATTGTTTCAAAACAAATCATTGCGCATTGTGGTATGATATTTTAAACTTTATTTAAACAATACATTTCATTGATAGACAATTTTTATTTTTAATACTTGAATATAAATGTATTATTGAAAATTAAAAAAAAGGTTTTTTAAATTAAAAATGAACCCTTACGTTACACACCGCCTTAAATATTTAATAATACTTTGGGAATTATAAAAATATCATATGCAAGGGGGCAGGGGGGTGCAATATAACATTTTTTGCCATATAAAGTCGACCACACGTTCATTATTATGACGCACTATTTCGCCTGAAAATGGATCTGAGTTGGATTTGTTTCAGTTTTTTCATTGATCATATGCATACAAGTAAGTTATTTTTTAAATGCATCGTGCATTATTTAATCAAAATTTAAATTTTTTGGCCCCCTTTGGTAAAAGCTTTCTACGCCCTTGACCATATGTATTCTTTGCTTGCCTTTTGGGTTCATTTAAGTCTTTTCATATATTTATTTATCAAAAATAATCCGGATATATACGATTGATAACCATAGTACAAAAATATTTTTAGACTGAAAGCCTATTATGAAAATAATGTTAGATATACATATTATAATAAGAAAATGTACACATTAAATGATAATTAGGTAGATATACTGATAATTATGTTGGTGGGGGCATGGGTTAGCTTATAAGCTGAGCTAGAGATTGCAGTTTTTGTTTACCCCCAACAACTTTGAGAATTTTGACAACAGTAATAGCTGAAGAAAACTAGTTTTCTTCATTGAGTTTTAAACAGCTTCTACCGATTTTCTACAGATTAACGTAGATGAAGTCCCAAATGCGAGATTTTTAAAGTCTAAGTTCGAACAACAGCGAAATTCAGATTCAGATAAATTGTAAGGAATTTAGGAATGTCAATAAACAGTAAACACTAAACAATATACAGTCTATAGCTCAGTCTTACGTTAAGAAGTAATGACATGAATAGGTTGCTACCTATCCAAAACATGACTTCAGTGTGCCCATGCCCTCAACATAACTTTGGTTCTATTTCTAAAACCACGTTTGAATCTTTTTGTTGCCTTTCGAATTTCAAAAAGATATCTTCCAGCGTACATGCATTAACCGAATAATATTCGACGGTATCGCTAAAAAGACCTACAAAATATTCTTCGCAAATTTTGAAAACATGTGACCAGATAATTTGCTCTTTGGTCCGCACAATGTATGTCAAGTTACCTGCATGATTTTCACGCAACTCCAAGCCATTGAAGTTATTTTTCAATTTTTTCGTAATAGCTTCAACATTCTCTTCTGTGTCGACGTCAGGTTTTAGTTTAACTTTGATGGTGAAACCACCCAAACGTTTTAGGGCACAAATGTGATTCAAACATTTAAATGAGCCGTTCGCCATGATGGCCAAACGATTGCAGAGCTCCTCACACTCATCCATGCTGAAAAGAACAGAACTTAGTATCAGTAAAAAAGAAGGCAGAAGAGCTATTTTCTACTGCAAGGTATCGTTGCTATCGTAAACACGATACTACAGAAAAAGAGCAATTGGAAGGATTTAAAAGCAAAGGTGGAAGCCCCTCCTTATTTACAAATAATTTGATTAAATAATGAATACTTAGTAACTTCGGTGTATATATCCCAATAATCCCGCTTATTATCTAACTATGTTTAAACAGTATATGCGGTTACCTTGCATTTCATTCATAACTTTTATGAATTCTTGAATAAGCCCTAAGAATAAAGATTCACTAATCGAATTACCAGCTAGATTGTTACTATATTTCAAACACTGTTTTGGGCTTACCTGTGAGACGAAAGCACCACTGTGCGTCCTCTTTTCTGGAAATCTTGGATGCACTTCCATAGAAATCGTCGCGATTTAGGATCCACACCCGTCGTTGGTTCGTCGAGCAACACCAGAGATGGACCTCCAATCATTGCCATTGCAGCCAGCAATTTTCGCTTTGTTCCACCAGAATAGTAACGCACCGGCACATGCCTGTATTTCTCCAAATTCATTTTGTCCAGCCAATAGTCGACATTATTCTGTAAGTTTTGACAGCTATTTTCTGAAATCTTTAAGTTGCGCATTAGGCCCATGAAACGCAGACTCTGCTCGGCAGTCATAAATTTGTTGAGCGCATCATATTGTGGACAATAGCCATAGCGATGGCGATATTCGGCCTCATGTCTGCGTATGTCTATGCGATCGATTTCAACATTTCCACCATCAATCGCCAAATTGGCCGTAATCATTTGGAATGTGGTCGTCTTGCCGGCTCCGTTTACGCCCAACAATCCGAAACATTCACCCCGCTTCACTGCAAAGCTTATACCGTTTACAGCCAATTTATAATGATATCTTCTTCTCAAATTTGAAACTAGTAGTGAGTAATCATTAAACACAGACTCGTCACTGCCATGGCTAATCAAACGTCCTACATGATCTTTTTCTCGCGCCACCTCGTCAACTACGTCATCATCCGTTTGGGGACCCGTGACTTTACTTTTACAGGACAAGTCCTGGAAAAAGCGTTTTATTGACTCGCACTTATATATGTTCTCAAGTATGGAAATAAGCACAAACATGCTTATGCCCCATACAACCACGGCATAAACAAAGAATGTATCGATCGATAGCTGATCTGCCTGATGGTCACGACGACGTGCTAGGAAGTTTTCGTTTATCATGCGTAGTTGGTGATTCAAATTAAAGTCAGGTAAGAAGCGGAGAAACAAAATTTCTGTCTCGTATTGATTTATGGCCTGCAAATTGTTGGAGGTAATCAATGGAATTATGCCTAAAATAAAATCAATGGATAAGTTGGAATCAAAATTAATCGTCTATATTTCAACTTACTTGATAGGATGAGCATCAGCAGTAGATATGTAGCTATTGTAGATACGGATTTAAAACTATTTGCTAGGATATATAGAACCGGCAGATAACTCAAACCGTAAAAGAAAATACTCCACATAATTGCGAACACGTCTTGTTTTGGATAGAGCTCCGAAGGCATTATAATGTACTGGAAAATCCACATTACAAAACAAACGCATAAATGTAGGAGCACATCGAAAACAAATGTGGAAATCCAAAATGTTGAACTCGACATCGCCTGAAGCTGTCTAAAGCCATTGGCATGTTCACGAAACGGCAACGATAAATAATAGAACATGCTAAAGAACATGGCCACCGAAACTATAACAGTATAATATTCTAGCCGCGTGGAACTGATGTCGGTGACGTAACGCCTGATGGGTAAGTAAGACGCTTCGATGTTTGCGTTCGGTCTCTGTCGCTTCAATATAGTCGAATCTATCAGATTAATGAGCACCACAGAACTGTGATGTCGGTTACCCGCATAATATATTTGTAGTGTTGGTCTTCCAGAATCCTCACTGTCACCCTTCATATCCACAATGCCAATAACATCTTCTAGAAAAAACGCCAAATTTTCGTTTTTTAATGCCAGAATCTCTGTAATTAGACGAATAATATGAATAGCTAGTTATAAAATAGTTTCTAAGATGTGAAAAGTCCACATGATTTTAACGTTGCTAACCTACCTTCATTAATATTATTGTAACCACGAAGTCTAAAAGTTTTAGCGGTGATATTATTATCCTCAATTTGTTGACGCAGGAGATTCTCTAGCTCTAAGTCCCGACCGTCCGGATTATGAATAAAAACACTTCCTGTACGCATTTCGTTCAATTTAATGTGCAACACACCATTATTCGTCACTATCGACATAAATTCCAATAGACCAATGGCAAAACCAACCGCAACTACTGGTACAATAAGCTGTAAAATATACACGAAATAGTTATTAGTAGGCCTCGAATGTGTTAACATAAAATTATGATTCTTAATAATTATAATTGAAAAGTTTTATGTATAGAGTGTTTTCTAACAGATCATTACAACTAAATCTCAGTTTATAAAATCAACTAAGGCAACAACTTAATGCTTGCTGGTTTTAATTTAAAAATTGTATTTACCATAAGCAGAGCATATTTCCATTCGTTAAATAAATACGTCCACTTCTTATAGACAATTGCTCTGAAAAGCTGTTTCAAATTTGGCAATTGATCTTCCTGCATGCGTATATAAGGCGTCAGGAGCGGCTCCTTACTGCTAACTGAACCCGGCGTATCAACCTCATCCGTAGATCCAGCACAACTGAAAGAGAGATTTAGTGCAACGACTTCAATGAATCTTGATATTACGTTGAGGCATTATACAATTAAAGTTTCCTATAATTGGATTGGGGCTTCAAATACTATATGTTATACAATAAGAAATAAATTAACTTACTTTAAGAACACATCTTCCAGCGTCGTATCACTAATCGATATATTGTCAATGCCAAGTTTATGACTCTCTGTTTCCAATTCTTTTAGCATATCATTGTATTTGTGTGTACAATTGTACGGTAGAGAAATTGAAAGCGTTGGCTTCACATAATTCTATACAATTCGCATAGTTAAATAAACAATGTGGATCGACGTATCATTATTAGTGTACTCACCAATAAACTTGCTTCACTTAAATGGGATTGTACAAGTTGCAAAGCTTCCTGCTGCTTGAGGTTCTCCTCGGATCCCTGAAGCTTCAAACGGTAACCGCTGCCCGAGTCACGTTTTAGCTTCAGTGTGGATCCATTGCACTGTAACTTTCCATCTGCCAGAATACATATTGTATCGCCTAGAACCTCCGCTTCCTCCATGTAGTGGGTGGTTACCAATATGGCCTTCTCTTTGCGCAGGTTAAGCAAAATATCCCAGAGCTCGCGACGCGATTCAATATCCAGACCAGACGAAGGCTCATCCAAAACGACAATTCTTCGAATATTAAATTGAAGAATTGGAGTTAAAATAGCTAAGTAGCTTGTTTAAGAAATACGCACTTTGTATTGCCAGCAAGCGCTATGCCCAGCGACAAGCGACGCTTCATACCGCCAGATAGCGCATATCCATATTCTTGTGCCTTATCAGATAGATTCAGTTTTTTAAGTTTACTGTCAGCCCATGTATCTGCTTGAGACTTGGGCGTGCCTCGGAGTTGAGCAAAGAACGTTAAATGCTCTCTGCATGTCATGTAGTTCATGAAGACGCTATGTTGTGGACAAAAGCCAATCAAATGCCGGTACGAGAATACCTCGCCCTCACTGCACACGACAATGTTTCCAGCATCTTTTGGCACCAGACCTGCAGTAAAACAGTGAAATTAATTAATATGACATTTTGAAGTAAAGCTGAAGCAGTCTTAGTAGTACTTAGACGTCGAAAGCCGAATATCGAACATCTTCAGTTGACATAATAGTTAATGTAGTTATTATACTTTGTACATGAAATGATTTTCGCACACATAATGTATATATAATAATCTACTTTTATTTCAAAAATCATTCAAATCAACCAATTCTAAGATATGATATTAGCGAAACAACTCCAGTACAATGACGATAAACTGCGGGACACGGTTCGCACTTCTTCTTTTTTCTGTTATAGCCATATACATACATATGTATGTATGTAATCTCTGCCTGCCAAAGCTCTGCCTGCAGCTATTGTGTTGTTGTATTAATTAATTAATTTAATTTAATTAAATTATTAATTTAGTTAAATTAATTAATTAATTGAATTACTTTTTTGTGGGGTGGTATAGGGTATTTAAGAGCCTGCTCGACTTTAGCATTCCTTTCTTGTTTTTAATTTATTTTAAATTGTTTAATTTAGCGAAAATTAAATAAATTCCTGCTGATATGGCAACAGCATTTTCTTGGCGCGCAGTCAAAGTTACCTGATTGTATTTGTGATTTTGGCAGCAATTTTTGGTAAACTTTCAGAGCTTGCAGAATTAAGAAAAGAACCCACAAAAGTTAAGGTATAAATTACGTGTGTAAAGTTTTGTTTATGTAGCTTTTGAAATGTGGACAGTATTAACGAAACTCTGTAGCCTAACAGAGGGGGGAAATCAAAAAAATAAAATAAAATAAATATTAAATTATTTATATTTTGTGAACTAAAATATATTGCATGGGAGCAAAATATAGGCCAGTTTCTGGTTCGATACAGTTAAAAATACTGAATTTAGTGAAAGTCAGCCATATCGGTTATATGGCAGCTATATGAAATAGTGGCCCAAACTGAACCAAACTATGGTCTTAAGGTACCTAAATATGCGTACAAACTAAATTTGGGGTAAATATCTTAATATTTCTGCCAAAAATCCCATAGTGCAGCGTCGACCTTCATCTGGGAGAGCCATGACAGATAGGCAAAAAAGTTTATAAATATGAACTATTTATAAATATACAATAATTTTCACGCTCTTATCAAAGAACCTAATCGCCCAAATGCTTGGGTAGAGTAGTTTGTTTTTGTGAAACACGCAAACAGTAATAATGTCTATTCGTAGAATATAATTGTGAAATCCCTTTTTAGCATTAAAAAGGAAGTTGATAAAATCGCCAATCAATTTGCTTTTTAAAGCTATAACACATGACTGATATCATTATACGACTGACGGCGATAAGAAACTGAGTGGCGTAGATAAATATTTGAATTAAACCACTGTTGGAACAGTCGGCAGTGAGTACATACTTAAATATTTCGTGCAGGTCGTGTTTTGAATGTTTATTTAGGCCTACTTACCCATTATCATATTCAGCATAGTTGTTTTTCCCGCGCCATTATGTCCCAGAAGTACGGTGATCTCCTTGTTTTTAATTGTCATGTTTAAATTATCCGCAATCGAGGTTTCACCTTTGGTTGTCTGAAACTTCTTGCACAAATCGGTTAAGATGATTGCATCAGTGCCGCGAGGCGATGTTGTATACTCATTACGTCGTCGTTTTTTATATGTAGCTGACTGCAATTTTATATTTAAAATAGTTTAGATGAAATCATTTGAATCTCTAGTTCAACATACTTTCAAAAAGAACAAAAAGGGACGCTTCAACCCGCCAGGCCCGGGGAACACATTGACTAGATAGTTGTATAACAGGGCATACAAAATTGTCTGACAAACAAGCAAAGCATAAACCGAAAAAACGGGACTGGAATCGTCCTTGATTTCACGAAACAAATCACCGCAGCTAAATATTTTATCTAAAAGTATTCAAAAAACACATATAATTAATCAATTTCGTAGCCAATAAAATCACAACTTACGTTTGTTGGAAAAAGTCTGAAACACATCGAGACCCTCCAAAAATGTATTAGTGCTGAAAAAACATAAAGCCAATGAAGTTGCCCAGCTGCGGACAAAGTTAAAGATGTAGGGTATAGTTAGCAGTGCCAGACCGCCAATTTTAGCATAATACACTGAAAACATAGAGACAGTTAGAATAAATATTAACATCGTTGGCCACATAAGACATACCTGAGTGAAAGCAGACAGATACCAGATACGCGTATGACATAGTGGCCACAATATACAAAAAATATAACAGTAACATGTAACCAGAGTTAACTGCTCCATACGAGTAGCCCACAGATAAAACAGCAACTAGATAAATTACATAGCACAGTAAACGAATAAGCGCAAACGTGAGTCCGTTTAGAAAACTCATCGGTGTGACCAAATTTAAAAATTCCTAGCCAAAGAATAAAGATATGTTATTATATTATGTTTGGAGCTTTTAAGAGAAAATTTGTTTCATACCTTCAGCCCATTTTGTTTCTCCTCCACCAGCGGCACAAGGAAAGATGCAAGCAGCAACACATTAAACAACACACTGAACAGGGTCCCAGAATATATTAGGTGATTGCTATTCGTACTATTGAGTCGACCATTGGGCATGGAATTTAGGAGCATCTCGAAGTCATCACTCACTTGTTGATAGTTCATGTACTGGCGATCCAGGGTGTGTTGAAGGGACAAGAATCCGATGCGTATATACTCATCATCATCTAATAAACAATAGCCGGTTCAATGAACAACTTATACAAGCAAATAACACGATATTACCTTTCTCGATATTTATTTCCTTGTCATTGACAAACCGAATATTGGGCAGGATCCGCATTCGGTTCGAGCTCAAGGTGTATTGAAAGGGTTCACTGCTGCCGCGTTCCGGTAAATTCTGGAAATTGATAGCGAAACAGGTTCCTCGACAACTATGCTCCATTTCCAGCTGCATTTCTTCACTGTTGTTGAAATTGCGAAAGCCTATCAGAAGAATTTTAATCCAAATAAGCTGCCTCTAAAGATTAAATTAACTTACGCTCAGGTATAATTTGCAACTCCAGACGCAATAAATCGATAAGCAAGTCTACATTAGTCGAGATAGGAGCGTAATAAATTAAATCATCTTCATTAGCGGGAAAGTACAACTCCTTAAGTACATTCTGAAATATAGAAATACATACATATTCATATTTGTTCATATAATTATATTATATTATTTAGATATAGTATAGTGCCCACCCTATAACAAAAAACCAATATGGTGCATGATGTTGTCATAATACTCACGTAGTCTTTTGTCTGAAATTCTGTTGTTCCATTGTACGCAATGGTCTTTGTGGTGATAATGACACTATATTGTATCAAAACAAAAGCAATGCATATTACACCCAGCGGTAATGCGCTGAAATGCAACTGTAAATAATTCTTTCGCCAAAATACCCAAAACAGTCGGTATCGTGAACAATCCATCGCTGGTTGGAATTTGTCCTCAATCGGAAAGATTTGCCAATCTCTAACTTTCTCTCTTTCAGCTTTCCTCACGGGCGGTGTTCCCTATACCTAATTTACATGTACAATGTACAATGTAGGGATGTGAAAAAACAAGATGCATTGATGTTTTCCGATGGTTTTTTGCTATCGATGCATCGTCGATCCATCGATGTTTGTCCAAACATCGGGCATTATTCATGTTTTGTTGGGCGGTCCCATTTCTTTGTGTGGTTTGCCGAAGAAGGTATATTTGTATTATAAATTATTTGATGTTTTCTTTAAAATGTGTATTTTGTAGTATACATTTTAAATTGATAAGCATTTGATCTCCATTTTTGCATATATAATGTCAGACTTAATATGCTTAAAAGGCGTAACTAAAACGCGTCGTTGTTTTTAAAACTGTATTTTTTTAAGTTACGAGTACTTTATTGATTAACAACATTAAGTAAAATGCTATGAAAGTCTCTCTTGATATATGTATAAACATTTTCTTTCATCTCTCATCTCTGTTGGTTGGTTTGTTATGGAAAGTTAATCTTTTAAAACATCGATGTTATTTTGCGATGCAACGACTATGCTTCGATTTTTTATAAAGAGACAACATCGATGTTTTTCGTTCGACTTACATCCCTACTGAAAAGCTGATCAGTTGTCCAATTTACCTTTGGTTCTGAACTATTCGTACATTAGGTTTGTAATAGGGATGTAAAAAAACATCGATGTATCGAGCATCGACGATGTTTTTACCACGATGCATCGATGTTTTCCGATGTTTTTTTGCTAACGATGCATCGTCGATCCATCGATGTTTGTCTAAACATCGAACATTATTCATGTTTTGTTTGACGGTCACATTTCTTTGTGTGGTTTACCGAAAATGGTATGTATATTTATATCATAAATTATTTGATGTTTTCGTTAAAATGTGTATTTTATAATATAAATTTTAGATTGTTAAGTATTTGATCTTCTTTTTTTCGTATGTAATGTCACACTTAATATGCCTAAGAGGTGTAGCTGCAACGCGTCGTTATTTTAAAAACTGTTATAATAAGTTACAAGTTCATCAAAAGTTAATATTACGAGTACTATTTTGATTAACTACATTAAGTAAAATGCTATGACAGTCTCTTTTGATATATAAACACATTTTATTTCAAGCTTCTCTGCTGATTAGCTTCCTAATAATAGCTTTTTTTCTATGGAAAGTTAATTTTTTAAAACATCGATGCATCGATGTTTTTTTGCGATGCATCGACCATGCATCGATTTTTTATAACGAGACATCGATGTACATCAACATCGATGTTTTCCCTTCGACTTACATCCCTAGTTTGTAATCGACGGTAGTGCTGTGCGAAACATCGATGTAAAATCGATACATCGATGTTTTGCAATTTTTTCCAAACATCGATGTTTTATTTCTGATTTTCGATGTTTTTTACTACTTGTAAAAAAAACGCGGGAAAAGCTAGGTAAGTAAAAGCTAAAATTTGCATTTTTTAATAAAACCCCTAATATAATACAGAACAAATTACTAATATTATAGATGGATATTGGTGTTGGCAGTGCTTGGAAATGGAGAAGTTTTTAAAAGAATCTAATAGCAAAGGTAATTTTTATCTTGCTGCTGCAGTCTTATTTGTGTATGTGTATTTTCATTATTTGTACATATGTATATTAATATGTTGTTCTATGTACTTAGATTGTAATGCAAACTCAACCGAAATGGATAAGGAACCTGAGGAAGGTGGTCCTAATAAACGGGTAAAATATGGAAAGTCAACTGTGTCGAATTTCTTCAATAAGTCTAAGGATGGCAAGTCTGCTAAATGCCTTAAATGTGGTAAAGTGTATCAAACATGTGGCAATACCAACAATTTATCTGCACATTTTAAACGAATGCATCCTACGTTCACAATTGAAGAACTATTAACGACCTCAAGCTCTATTTTGTCGTTTATAGACAAAAAATACGAAGCATTTTATTTACAGATCTCAAATGATAAGTCCCTTAAGGCATGTATATGCAAGTACCTCTGCGTTCCTGCAACGTCCACTGAAAGTGAGCGCATGTTCAGCAAAGCTGGACTTATAGTTAGCGAAAAAAGGAGTTCGCTTAAATCAAAGAATGTAGACATGCTCATTTTTATTAACAAAAATGAGTGGATCTCAAATAATTAGTCATGAATTATATTTTTTATGTTATGCTTTTCATTTTGTTATACTTGTATTCTTTCAATTTATGAAAATATTGTTTTGTTGTTTTATCTGAAATTAGTCATTAACTATAATTTTTTATGTTATACTTTCTCTTGTTTTTAGTTTATTATTTGAAGTTATAAAAATATCGTTTGTTTTAAACCTTTTTTTTCCTTTATAAACAGACAAATCAAAACGAAGTGCCCTATGATGTATATTAATTTTTTTTGAAAATTTGTTAGTGGAATTTCGATGCATGTATACATCGATGTTCTTCCTCCAAAAAAATCGAAACATCGATGTTTCCCCAGCTCTAATCGACGGTGTAAAAAAGTCGATGTTTTTTTACAACCGATTTATTCACGAACAAAAACACGAGCCCTGCCCAGTTCCAATAAATGAATTTGACCACCACAACGTACGTTAACAAGTATATTCGAGATAATTTTCAAAAATTATCGATACATTGAAATTAAATGAGAAATGTTGTTTAAAATGGGATATTAATGTATTAAACATGTGTAAAAAAATCAAGTTTATTCTATGTGGATTTTTCAAAATAGTAGAGGAAATAGAAATAATGCATTTAAATTTGACTATGCCCTTAAAAAATGTTAATACAAACTGGACAGAAAAGGACAAAGCATAACTTAAATAAACAAAGCACTTTCATTTTATTTGACTCATGTTTTATATTTATATAGTTGCTGGCCGCGCTTTGCGTAAACTTATGAACTATGTTTGTGGTTATAGATCTTACATATCTATACATACATACATACATACATACATATGTGTAAGTATGCTTTTGGAGCGGCCATTCGATTACACAGACAGTATATTAATTTTACAAATACATATCGACATTAACAACACCAACACCAATAAGTTTAACTGGACATTAAGGCAAAGACATTGTTTTAGAAACATTTACGATTAAGTTGTAAAGACTCAATTTGGTTATCTAAATTTATAGCATCATTGATAAACAGCTATTCCAATTTTAGCTCCCGTAGAACTATAAGACGCATTAAAAGTCATCACTAAAATTAGCCCCAATATTGAGGTCGTTTTCGTTATTATCGTTGTATGTGCAGCAGCAACACCAGAAACTCAAAACTTGATGTAGCATGGATAGCAATAGTACCGAAAACTATTGCGCTTGCTGAAGCAGTTCGGCAAACGCCTGGGGCGGCCTAAAGCTGATCACCTCGGTGAAGACAAGTTCTTTCCATTTCTCAACGGGTAGCTCGTTCTCCTCAAAGCTCTGATCGTAGAGCGCTGAGGTTTGCTCGTCACTGGGATCGTGGTACTTTTCCATGTATGGATGTGCTAGGGCTTGCTCGGCCGTTATGCGCTTCTCCGCATCCAGCTCCAACATTTTTTCAAGCAAATCAATGGCCAGCGGATTGGCACCACGAAATACATCGCGGAAATTGCGGGGCGGCATTACAGGAAGCGACCTTATATAATTACGCGCGCTCTCCGACGAAATCTTGCTCATGAACTCATCAGCTGGTGTGCCAAGCACTTCCATAATTAGGTTCAGTTGATGTATGTGATCGGTTCCTGGGAAGAGTGTTCGTCCAGTCAAAAGCTCTGCCATAATGCACCCAACAGACCATATATCCACAGTCTGGTTGTAATGCATCCAATTCAACATTATTTCGGGTGCTCGATACCAACGTGTCGCCACATAGCCCGTCATCTCGCTTTCAGCAGGTCTTGCGAGGCCAAAATCAAGGATGCGTAGTTCGCAATCTTCGTTCACTGCAATGTTCGATGGCTTTAGATCCCGATGGATGACACCAGCACTGTGAATATACTTCAGGCCACGAAGTATTTGGTAGACTAGAAACTGTACATGGTCATCAGAGAGCTTTTGCGTGCGTATGATGTTATTAAGATCGGCATCCATCAAATGTGTGACCAGGTATACCTGCTGGAATTGTTCCAGCGAGTCGGCTGGCTGGCCGGGATGAAAAACATCTAATAATCCAATAACGTTCTCATGGTCCATGTGCTTCAGCAGCCGCAGTTCGCGGTAGGTGCGCTTTGCATGCACGGCGGATTGAAATGGGCGTGCCAGCTTTTTTATAGCCACTTTTGTGTTAGTGCCGCGAACTAAGGCCTTACAGACCTGGGAAAAAATAAGGTGTGTTTTGATCATTAAGCACCCAGCTATTGCACTGCCTGGACAACCAGATAACCATTTTCAATATCTTGCAAGATAACACAATAATTTTCAACGCAGTAGTGACAGTTCAAAAAGAATCATAACACAGACGACTTACCTGACCGTACGCGCCCGAGCCCACAGGCTGTAGCTGCTGGTACGTGTCGGGTAATTCCCACTCGGTGCGGTTAATGTCCAACTTATAGAAACTTGGCATTTTCTGTGCGTTTATTTTGTGGATAAATTGTAGAAAATCGTGAAAAAACTAGAGCAACTTTGTACTACTGTTGCTGCAGATGGCAATATCACGATAACGCCGATATGCGTCATGTTTTTGTGTAGCCAATGTGACCACCCTGTCCCATGAATTCGATAGCAATGCTCTTCATAGAAAAGAGTCAGCTGATCGGCAAGCGTAACTGTAACTTAGAAATTATATTAAATTTGTAAAATCCGAGTTATTTGTAAAATTTTGAGAACATTTTACATTTAATAGAAATAACATACTTTCCTTTGCGCAATACATTATGACAATTGTAATGGGATTTTAGGTAAAATAAAAGCTTTAATTTCTAACTGGTAAAAGTAAAGGAGGCTTAAGTTAGAAAAAGGAAACAATCCTTTTAAGTATAAAAAAGAATTAAACTTTTACAAACTGAAACTTGGTTTTTTAAGTTAATATTTTGCAAATCTGGTAATTCCATATACATAAATATGTATGTAGATAGCGAGACTAGGATCTCTGTTATCTCAATATATTAAAACATATATTAAAATAAAAGAGAATGTTAAAATTATAAACTAATGCAATTTTAAATACAAAGTCTCAAGCATATGCTTTTGTGGTTGTGGGTCCCGTTTGGTGCGCTCTCTTACGCTCTTGTGGATGACGTTACGTTCACGTTCAACGTACGGTAAGCCAGCTTTCAGTTCCAATTGGCCGCTCGCCGTTAACACTACATCTAAGCAGTTGGTGCGCACGTTGGAGATTTAACGTTTTTTGCACGAGTTTTTTCCATACGTATTTTTTCATTGACAAAAACACAAGCTGTGGTTCGTGTGTGTGTGTGTGGTATAGTTGTGTGTACGTGCTCACACTGGTGTTTGTGTGTTGTTGACAGTGTGCGTGTGTAGTTGCCACTGCTTTGTGTGCAGAATAATTTTTTGCAATATTATGTAAATCCGCAAATTAAAGTTCAATTCAACTAAATACCAACGGCCAAATGCAGAAACAAAAGTAACTTTGAACGAAAAAAAAGCATCAAATGCCAAGAAAGTGAAAAATAATCAGTGCTTTGAATTATTTAAACACAGTAACACACGCAACAGTTTACACAAAATATTCAGATAAAGCAGCGCTATCGAAAAAGCGCTATTTCGACTTACATTAGAAGGACCCCTAAGCCTTAGGCGGCGCGCCCTTGGGTCTGCATTGAAATCAACCGTTAGTGCGAGGAGGAAACAAAATGGCTACAACCGCAGTGGCAGCCACTAGTGTTGTCGTTTTGGATCGTGGCAACAACACAACATGTACAATAAATTTGCACGGTAAGTGTGCAAGTGTGACTATTTATGTGTGTGTGTGTGCGATTGAGAGATTCTCCAAAAACCTAATTAATCATAATCAAGTGAATCAAAATAAAACAAATTGAGGAGTACCCGACTGCCGCATACCTGTGCTAAGCACAAAATGTGATTTTTTGGATTTATAATTCTATCTACATATACATACATACAAGTATTTAAGAATACACATACCATACATATTTGTATACTAAGCTTAAAATAAAATTTAAAAAAAAATGGGACTAGTAGTGTAATTATACCAAGTTTAGTGACAGTGACTGTTATACCACTTATAAATGTATGTACATATATTCCAGAATACAGGCTTTCAAAATCGAACAAATATGTAAATGCTTTGTGACGACGTTTAGGCTTCATTCGTTCATGCTGTCTCATATGTGCGCAATATTCCTCTAAGCCCTTTTAACCTTTTGTTTACAGGGTATAGCATTATTTAATGTTCGTTTTTTGCCGCCAACAATCTTGTTTACGTTATTTTTGGCGAATGATTTTAGCAAAACACTTCTGGTGTTGTTGCTGCTATTGCTGTATCGCGTCAAAAATTAAATTAGTTAAGCATTTTATAGACTCTTATTTATTTTTATATAATATTTTAAAGCCTTTTTGTGTTCTATGGCCATTAAACTTGTTTGCTCAGCCGCTTGCCGGAGACCCAAACATGAGTTTCTAATCGTTTCTAAACGTGTTGTTTGTGATGGCTTAAGGGGTCGTCAGCGGGGAACAGAAGGCAATGTATATATGTACATATTGTATGCAGATACGTACGCATATATTAAGCTGCATTTTAAGCAAAATGTTATGTGCACTGACATAAACTCAACTATACAAAAAAGGTGCATACGCTGACGATTTTCCGTTTCTATGCCATCCACTTGAGAATTTTATGCGACCTCTGTAGGTTATCAAGAAAACGTGTTGGGTTTTAGCTTTGTAATGAAAATAGTAGTGCTGTAAGCACGGCCTTCGATGCTTCAACTAGCACTGTTTATCAAGGTTGAAGGTAGACTTAAAAAAAAGGTAGACTTAATTTAACCTAATACTTGTAGTTCTCCTAATCGTCAGTGACAGATCATAATTAACGCATATTATTGGTCAGTATTAGCTCAAATGATTAACAAGCTTTTTGTCTGCCCGTTCGTCAGTTTAACGGTATGTATGTTTAGTTTTCCGAAAGAAATTAACCAAACTTTGGTGCTTATAGAAAATCAAACTGTGTGTAGTTTATTTTATAACTTTAAAAGAATACTTTCACTTGGCTTCATTCAATAAGAGTCCTTTATATTAATTAAATATATGATCTTTTATCCACATTAAATTTATTATTTATTTTTATAAATTATTAGTTACTCGTTTCTCAAGAAAAATTGGGGTTTAATTATTGTTTATGTAGAAATTTTTATTTGAAAGCTTCAAAAGAAACAAGCAATTTAAACTAACTCCCATATGAACTCTCACGGATCCCAACCTTCTTGCTATTGAATCACTCTGATAGCACTAAGATATTTCTAAATGGTTTGCTTAGTCACTCCCAATGATTCTGTCAATTCTTATGTTTGGCACGAGCCTGTTATTCGAATATCTGGTTTAAAGTCTTGAATACGACTTTAAGTATTTTATTTTTTATTAACATTTCAAAAATGTAGATTCTGTGCTATTTAAAAAAAAAGGGAAACATACATAATATATTTATATTAGCTTATTCAATTATGTGGGTTTGATTCATTTCAAATGTTTGTAGAATATACTTCAGAAAAAACCTTTGAAAACGAAAGATAATACAGTATTTCCCTTTATTCTAAACCTAATTATACAAGTATATCATAATTCTTTTTTACATTAAATTTGTATTATTACAAATGGATTTAATCAAGCGCGATTGATTTTAAATTGACGTAAAATTTGTAAAATCAGGCATAAGCAAAATTATGGATCCATCCTTTTTTCCGTGGTAAAAATCGCCGACTAACTTTTCTGCCGAACACACACTAATTAACACATCCCGCTCAAATTTCACACGAATGTGAAGTAAGGTGTTACCAAACAATTCGGTATACGCTCGCCTCTTAAATGGACCATTCCGAGTATAATTTTATCAGTTGCCGTTGACACGAACTGTGCAATAATAAATGGACATAAACAAGAGTTGTTGACAGACATAGATAATACATCTAGAGACTATAAGTATAATTTAAAAGTAGTTTTTGTTAATATAATATAAGTTAATAATATTCACTAACGAAAAATAGGATAGGAAACGGTAGAGCTATACTTGAATTTCGCGCGCCTTGACTATGTGGCCATAAGGTTTTGTTCTGAAACCTTGTAAAGAGTACTTGTATACGAGTGTACAGCTATGGCGCAGTATAAATTTGCAAGCTTGTGGGACAACTAGCTATCTTATCGACTCTATTTTTGTTGTCTACAAGCAGGTTACGTCTTTTGATAAGCGGCCCTTACGGCATCAGACTCAAACTACCGTTAGTTGTTCAAGTGGCTTTCAATTAGTGCCTAAGCTGCAACAATAATGAATGATTAGAGCGACGCTTACCCAGATCAAGGCAACTAATGGAACCTTGTCTCCGCTCCTATATTCTCGCAGCGCATTAAACGCATACGTCTGTATGTATGTATTTTTGATTAGGCGTTATAGTATATTATGAATGTATGTATGCGTATATGTATATATATAATGTACGTTATATGCATTAAGTACTTTCAACAATTACACTGACACAGTTATAGCAATACCCGCTCACTGTGTGCGTGTGTGGTTGTGTGTTTGTCAGCTGCCCACGTCTCGTATGAGTAACAGACACATTTGGCACACACACAGCCGCGAGACGCCGCACAGTGGCCCGTTCGCACTTTTCCCGTTGCAAAAATATGAAGCTTAGATTAAACCAATTATTTAAAATGCCACTCAAATCTTTTTACTGGCTAATAAATGTATAATTGCTAACATACATAATATAATGTAATGACAATTTTTATTTTCAACAAACTGAACATGAACTCCAAATTGCAAATATTGCTAGAGCTCCCAGATAAAGTCTTTATGAATAATCCCATTTAATAAATTCGAATATTACTATACTTACTTATATGTAAATCCATTTTATTATTATCATTAGTTGTATATATTTAATTGTTATATTAAATATTTATAATACATAATTGTATATATAAATAAATTTACATTATACCTATATGCAGTTATATGCAAATATATAACTTGCATGGGAACTATAAATAAATTTGATAATCATACTTTGTGTGAAACACGGTAGGAAATCTAGAAAAGGTTTTCTAAAAATTCAGTTTTCTGGATTTTAGGGCGAAATGAACTTTCAAATGTAAGATTAGATTTTTGTTAGTTTTTGAAATTATAAGAAAATACTTTTTTTAAGCATTTGGAATTCGCAATTGGAATTGTATTCTGTAAAGTAAAGTAAAACATTTTTTTAAAATAGAAATTTGTTATTGTTTTGATGAAAGTATGAGTAGACAAAAGGAAGAACCTCCGACCCTATGAAGTATGTATATAAATTCGGCAAAACGAAACAAATCGTGCATGCATCTGTCCATCCCTCTGGATTTCGAAAATAGTGAAAAAAAAACTTGACAAAGCTGGCACTTCCAATCCCTGGGCAAAGGAATTAATTTTAATAACGCTTACAACAGAGTGGCGGAAGTTTTTTTACTTTCGGGCGTTCCCTCTTGTTTATTTTTAGGGTGTTCGCTTTCATTATGTTAGTTTAAATAAAAACCTAATAATGTACTGTGAGAACAAAAAAATATTATTTTTTTTCGTACACATTTGGAAAAAATAAGCCATTGTGCGAGGAGCCGCCAGTCCGACAAGTTTGGAGTGCGCTTTACTCTGTGCCTTAGTTTACTTCACTTTTTGGTGATTTTTTGTATTAATACTTATTATTCTTATTATTTTATTTTGCAATGTATGTTTGTTGTTGTAGTCAAATTGAAGATGTTGAGTTGAAGCAACCGCAAGCGTCGAATGTTTTATAATTTTTTAGAAAATGTTTTTGCTAAACATGTGAGCGCCCATTTGTTTTTTTTTTGCTCGTTGCCTGCCCCCACCCACACGCACTGTGGGCTCTGCACCCACCAACTTGGCCGTAGGTTATAGTCTCTAACAGCTCCATAGTGTCTCATAGTAGTCGTCATCAGAGTCATCGTCACAGTCAGCGTCGGACTCATAGTCATAGACATAACTATTGCCTGAACAGGCAGCCAGCCAGCCAGCCAGCCAGTCAGCCGGTAACTCAAGTCTGAATATTGTTACCCAGTTGGTTTACTTGCAAGCCGTGTTTACTTGACGACTGTGTCTATATACACATAAATATGCATGCATATGTATGTGTGTCTGATTTATATGTGGGTTAAATGTGTGTGCCATGTACTTACTGTAGCGCAGCTGTTGTTATTATTGTTGTTGTTATTGCTATCGAAAATCCATTCATGCCTACGTTCGTGTACTGCCTTTTTTCTCTTGTCTCTTGCCCAAAAGTATTACAGATATGTTCAGATATATTTGTTTGAAATTACACACAACATCTTTCATTCGCTTTCAAATAATTTTTCTTTATTTCAGGCGCTACAGTTGTCTCCTGGCGTGTGAATAATCAAGAACAACTCTTTGTTAGGTAAGTAAGAGGCTTTATTTATTACAAATAATAATGGAACTGTTTCTTAAATGCAGAAATCACTAAGAGATGATGAAGCATGTTATACCTTTTAATACACAGATATGGGTGTTACCAAAAACTATATTCTTATTTATCTGATGAAGTTAGAAAGCGATTCTTAAGAGCTTAGAATAAAATAATATTTTACCGCATTACTCTGCCAATTGCATTACTGTTGACGAACTTTATTTCCTATATATATTTCTTAGATTGTTTTCCTGAAGAATCATATAACCGATTAGGTTATGGATTTAAGTGCAAAAATAGAGTATTTTTGGCAATTTTCTTTTTTCTTATCTAATTTTAAATTAGTAAAACTTAAGGAAAAGTGCTGATTAAAGTTAAAGACTACCAATTTGATTGATTAATTTCTATTACTGAATAACAAAGTGCATTCTTAGAAATAAATTTTACACAATCATGCTTTTCAAATAGATTTTTGGTGTGTCAAGCAAATAGGCAAGATAAATGGTACCAATTAATGGAGAATATGGAATTTGAACATTATCTTAGAATCTCGTTTCCGATTTGATCAATATAGATTTGACTTCGTTTTATTCATTCATTTTATGAGTAAAATTGCCCTATACCGGAACTGGCATCAAGCTCAAAAAATTCACTTTAATCGTGACTTAAATGATAAAGTTCTCAATTATGGGTTAAAGTACATAAATGTTTAGTTGTAATATGAAAACCTTTTCTTTGAAATATTTTCGCAAATATTTTATTTGTTTCCTAAATGCGAATAAAAAAAGAAAAGCTTTTGTATTATTAGTGCCACATATCACGCATACGCAGAGTAGCACGCGGTTTAAATCAACCTGAAAGACAATGCTTTGGAATGCAATTCTTTCGCACTTGTGTCACACTTAGACCAGTCCACGGTATGCCATGTAACCAAAAAAGTGATTTACAAAACTTTACACACACTATGCCACAGAAGTAAATGCATGTAGGGCGAGAGAGCACGCCACTAAGGACGGCTTGAACTAGCCGCCGTTGGATTGCAAGCGACAGTGGCTGCGACAACCTTAACCATTCTATTTGGCCCCAAAATGTTTTTTGTATGACATCCAACAAAAACACAAATGCAGGACCCAACAAAGCTGTTGTGCATGTAGCGTCGAACCAGCGAGCCAAACCGAACCAAACTAACAAGAATGGAACAAAGAGTCGAGCTGATCCGACACTTAAAGACCCTGTACCCACTTTAAAAAAATAATAAACACCAAACGTATTGTAGTAATTAAATCTTTTAAACTTACGATAATAAAACAACAAATATAAAGCACATCCATACAGACAGTAAAAAAAATTGGCTTTCTTATGCTGAATTGTTCTGTGAAACTGCTAAAAAACAACAGCTCGTCCTACTGATTAATTCGGGTTAAGCTTACATACCGGACCGAACTGTCATGGACATGAACTCATCGCGTCTTACTAATCAATATTATAGATACTTCTTCAGGTTGTTGCATAGATTTGTACTAAACAAATATACTCTTTTACCCTTTGGGTACAGGATACAAACAGCCCAAGTTTGAGTGTAAGAGGGACAGAGAGATAAAAAGAGAGAGAGTGTGGCAGAGTAGCATAATAGTGAGCGCGAATGCGTGAGAATGTGGGGGCTAAGGCAACAACAGTTCTGTTGCTGCACTTGCAACCTTCCCCCTTCCCATGCTGGGCAACTGGGCGGCCTGCTCTCTATGTTTGGCCCTCCATTGATGGCAGCTTTTTTCACTCTTGCTGTTGCGCCTACGACGTTGTTGTTGTTGTTTTTGTCGTTGTCGTTGTAGTCCTGCCGCCCGTCATCAACAAGACAATGTGCAGGTTTTTATGAATGGAGTTTTTTTTCTGTGGCGGCATCTAGATCGATAAATCGCGTCTATATGCTACACAGATGACGCTGCACAGTGGCAACAAATAGATGCATTTTTTGTTTTCAATCGACAGTGTAGATTGCTTGCATGGGACATCCTTTTTTTTTAGTATTCTGTTAATCTATATAAGTTGAACAAACGACCATTTTTAAATTTGGATAAATAAAATTGGATTCAGATAGGAAGTCAAAACTTCAATACACCGGTGTATACTTTATTTGTTAAATAAGGGGGTAAGTAAGTAAGTATTAGTTAAGTATAAGAGTATATTAAAAGGAGTGTAACACTTTTTGACGAGTGCTTACAGTGCTAAGCAGATTTGAAACATAAAATCCACTTGAACTGTTACTGAATATAACTTAGCTTCTTTACTTTACTTTACTTTATATTTTTCGCGGGTTTTTCTTATCTATGTATAGGCTAAGTTTATATAAATGATACATATACCTATTTTGTACAATTCTGAAAAATTGTCTAATTTATGACGACGACTCATCGCATAATTTAGTTTTTTTGTATGTGCTTCATTAATTTCGCATCCATTTAATTTGTAGTTTTTGTTTCGACGCACAGTAGTTTTTGGAAGTTTATATAAACAGTTAAGAAAACATATTTTTCACAAGATGGTTTCAATGTCTGCTTTTGAAGAGGTTCTTCATTTTCGCTCTTCATTCGGCCCTATGTTTTACGATGTCGCAAGTACTGCATCAAGTAAAGTAATTTTAACATTAAGATCTGACTTCAAACCATGTGATAGAAAATTACGAAGATATATATAATTTTTATATCGATCCCCAAAGATCCAATTCAATATTTATTTATTTTATTAAGTGAGTTAGATTTCAGGCCTAGATTTTTATTTTAATTATTCTTAACACCTAACACTTTTATCAAAATTATATATTAGATAAGCCTTATATTTCTGAAACTATCTGTGATTAATCATTCTTAGCTGGTCTCCACTGCCTGATTATGGTTTCCCTTTCTAACATTTGCTGACCACAGTGCCTGCATCTATGTGCATATCAATGTACATAGGTATGTACGAGTGTAATATATGTGTAGGTATGTTTGTGTGTTTCTTGTTGCTGTTTTGGCGTTGGCGTTGGCGCGTTTTTTGCCAGCAACATGGGCTAGGGCAATATCTCTATGACTACACACGTACACTACTCACACACACAAACAAACACACACACACACGCATTGTACCATACTCATGCAAAAGTGTGTTGGGTGCGATTCTGTATGTGTTTGTGTGCAAAGGCAATGTTTTTCAACATTTGTTGCTGCTTCGGCTCGGCTTCAGCTTCAACTCTGCTGGCCAGCCCCCACAAGTTAGCCTTTCTTTCATGTATCGTTTTTTTTTGTGCCTTTTTGGTTTGCTTCTTCTTTTTCTGTTTTTTCTCTTCTGTTTTTTTTTTTTGTTTTGGTTTCTCAGTCAGTCGCATTGGCGCGCGTTTTGTGCATTTGGAAACCCACTAACGGCAAATGCTGCAAGCTCCGGATCGTTTGCGGCTCTGTGCCGATTCTGTCCGTTTGTTTGTATGTGTGCCGGTGGATAGCAAAACTACACACAAAAACCGCTGCAACTTTGTGGCAGAGGCAAAAACTCGGCAATTTTTGCTTAGTATTGCCCCCATGGCGCATAAGGACGCGTTGGCGACGAGGTTTTTGCTGCCTAGCAGCAGTTCCAGATACTGCTACTGGCCAGGCTATGAGAGCTTTAATAGCAATTGACTGACTAGCTAGTGGCAAAGCGTAATGGGCTTAAAGTTTGTCATCAATAATAAGAAGTTAGTGCTTACTTCCTTTTGCAAAGTAGAAGCAAGATTTGAATGAATTTGACGGAAAACTAAGCTCAGTTTTAATCTTTAATCAACTGAGCTTAATCTGTAACCCTTTCATTTCAAGTTAAATACTTTTAAAGAGACTGTATGCTATAAATTGGATAAAACTGACTGTTGTATGTATATAACACCACTGACTGTTGTAAATATATCACTCCTGTGGCAGGTAGAAACTTTCTTTTTTAACAGCCGCCATCTGTGTGATGTAAAGGATAATAAACTATTCTAACTCTTAATGGAACTGCCATTGTCGAGCCCATGCAGTTTTATTTCACAAAGTTATTTTAAACACCAAAAGATTTAGTTTTAATTTTAAAAACTAATTTTGACGGCTAAAGCACAACTGTCCTTCGCCCTTCTCATGCGAAGCACTTATGTAACTACCAATAGCGCATGCGAAGCATATTAGCAGAGCCACTTGAGCCAAAGGTTGCGATTAACAGCGGCGATTGTAGGAGCTGAATTGTTGTCTCTTCAGGCCTCCAATGGGACAGGAGATTTCCGCCAGCTATTCGTTGATAAGAGCCAGTGTCAAATCAAGTGCAAGGTGTACGTGCGCACATCTATGGGAAGCCAGTAATTTGACGCATCAGCTTGTACTTAACGGCGGTTGATAGGCCGTTTATTTTTCGGTTGACGGTGTTAGTGTTGTTTGTTCATTGAAGGTCACACATCGATCCAAGTGAGATATTTTCCATTTGCGCCGTCCATGTAGACTACATGAAACCCGCGTTGTCACACTTGGACATGCTTAAACGTGTTCCGCCTGCTTGGCCATGTATCTAGTCTACTTAAAAAGGACTCGATCTCGTCGCTCGCTTCTTTTAAGTTCAAAAAGATCACAAATATAGCTTACTATGCATTTCCTCCTTCTACGGAACTGGGATTATGACTAATATTAAACTAACTTTTAAGATATTTATTTTTAACCGAAGTTCTTGGTACTTTCTATTCTAATCTTTTATTAAGAATGCCAATAAATAACAGTAAGAGCTATGTTTAATGGCATTTGTGTGTTACGGTTTATTTTTACACACACCCCTTTATGCCCCAAAACAAATCGCACATCTTTCAAAACTGACAATATTAATGACAATTGCCCCTTCAAGTCGGGAGAATGCGTGCCACAAAGCTTACAAATGATGCACCACCGAAGGCAAGTTGACGAATGCGCCAGCAAATTAGCACAAAAAGCAGAAAAACGCGTACAAGTCGAGGTTCAAAAAAGCTGATCCTTTGCCTGCTGTTGCTACTGTTGTTGTTGCTACTGTTTGAGTTGTTGTTGCCGCTGCTGTTGTTGTTGTTTTTGTGAGCTAGCCAGCCAGCGGCAAGTTTGGCTACCAAGCTACTGTGCTGGCCATGCCAGTAAAGGTAAAGCCAAAGGAAACGAATGTCTTTGGCAAAAAATGGTACGACCATAGTCCTCAGCAACACGACAACCTCGATAGCAACAACATTAACAAGAAGCAGATGAAGAGGAGGAGCAACAACAAAAAGTGCAGCATCAGTCATTGGCATCAAGCGGCAGACACTTTTTTGTGGCGTTGCGAAAATTTCTTAATGTCTGCAACGCTTTTTATAACTATATATGTATGTATGAATAGCATGTATACGTATGTATATAAGTATGTAGCTGAAATATTTGTGAATGCTTTTGCAACCAAAGGCTGTAAAAGACATCCCTAAATATGCCCGGCACTGACTGAATCCCTTTCTACTTTCGATTCTCTGTTTGCAGCAAGCTGGCCTCCTTTGACGGCAAGAATGCCATTCGCGGGGGCATACCATTTGTTTTTCGTAAGTAGTATTCCGCACACACCCCTTTAACAGTTCTCCAAGATCTCTAGTCAGCCCCTGATATCTCTTTAATGCAGCACAATTCGGACCCTGGTCCTTTGGTCCTCAACACGGCTTTGCGCGCATCTCCCGCTGGCATTTGGATCGAGCACCAGAGCGTCTCCACAATGGCGATGTGGAGGCTATATTCTCACTAATGGACAACGAGTTAACGCGTGCAATATGGAACTATCAGTAAGTAATACCTACTTTGATAAATAATTCTAGTCAGCTAAAGGTGGGGACTGAATTTTAAAATTAGAATTGGGAATTCATTTTAAGTTATACATTTTAAAAAAAAGTTATCTTCGTTGCGTAAAAATAAAACTCAGAAAATAAGTTCATTCTTTTTAATTTGACGAGCATTTTTATTCTATTTTTTATCTGTTTTGTTATTGAAGTTATTCTGACTGCTATGAATAGTTTAAATAGGAAACCGCATTTTGTATTTAAAATTGAAAACCATTTATTATATAGTACAAAATAATGTCGAAAATTTAGGTTAGTTTTAATCTACAAGTAGTATTATTATAAGAACTAATCGCTAATATTAAGCATATTTTATAACTTAGTTAATATTTCTACTTCAAATTAGATCAATATTAGGCTGAGATATAAGCGGCTGTAAATAACTAAAACTATACGTAGAATTGGTACTTTGTTTCTGCAAATGGCCGAGACGAAGTTATTCGGGTGTGTTTCACTTTCAATTAAAGTATGTAGAGCCGAATTGCTTCTAAAATTTGACTGGTATTTGATTAATTGGTATTTATATCACTTTTTATCCTTTTAAATTTGTTAACAACAAATATTTGTTGAAATAATAAATACTTGTCCTGCAGATTCCGCATTACCTACCGTCTTATACTGCGTGAAAAGGAACTGCACTTTCATATTGGGGTGTTTAATCCCAGCAAGGAGTTATCCTTTACCTTCAACATGCTGCTGCACACCTATCTGAAGGTCCCCGATGTGCGGCGTTGTCAGATTACAGGACTACACGGTTGCACATTCATTGATAAGACACGTGAAGGTGCTTTGTACCAGGAGGGTCGAGAGGTGGTCACCGTTAATGAGTGGACTGATCGCATTTACCAGCACACGCCACAAGAGCATGTGATCACCAATGTGGTTTCTGGACGCAAGATGAGGCTCCACAAATATAATTTTCCCGATACAGGTAAGTGGGAGAAACTAAATAAAGTTCTGAAGGGTGGCTACAGAATTGCTTTCTTTATGGGTTGAAATTAAACTATATACATACATACATACGTATTTATATTGCGTCAAATATTGATTTGTGAAAAACTATCGGTCCATCTACAGTGCAACTTAATCAACACACAAGCACTGCACAATCACTGATTTGTCTCTTTGATAGGACGGCTAAAAAATAATTTGCGTAATTGAATTTCTATGGAAATATTTCTTTTATTTACTACAAAATCTTAATTGTTGCTTTAATAACCACCACGACCTGGAGGAGGTGCGCGCATCATACTTGGGGGCGGTGGTCCTCTCATCGGTGGCGGTGCGCCACGCCCTATGCCACCCGGCATTGTAGGGATCATGCCTGGTGGAGGTGCACCCATCATGGGTGCTCTCGGTACTCCACGACCCATTGGCGCCATATGCTGTTGTGCTGGACCACCAACACCTCTTACAGGGCCTTGTAAGCCGGCAGGCACCGCAGATATATTCATTGGAACACCACGTCCAGCGACGCGCCCAATACCCGGGCCAGGTGCTGCTCCTGGTAATGGCACACGGGGCAGACCCTCCTCCGGTGGTGGCGGACCTTCCACAGTTAACGAAACTATGTTTTCACCCCGCAGCAGAACAAACCCCAAAACACGCTTCTCCTCGCGTTCTGGCACTTTGGAGTTTTTAGAACGTATTTTGCGAAATTCTTCGCAGTCGCCGAGTATAAGGTTCATGTGCTTGTCGAACGCCTTAAACGTTCCAATGAATGTACGAGAATCTTGTAATACGATTCGCACCCTGTAATTCAGGTGCTGAATCATTTTGTTATTCTTCCCAATAGTCTGTGAATGCGAAAAAATATTAGCAATACATATTTTTAGCATTCAATAAGCCATATTACCATTTTTAAGCCGTTTTTTCACTCTTTTTGGACGACGCTATACTCCGCACACACTATTTTACACAAAGCCGGTCCTACAAGCAACTCTGCACGCAGAATGGCCGATAACGATAAAACTGTGTTAGTGCTGCAAAATACGCGCGTAGCATTTATCGATTTTCATAGAAAATTTTATCATCGTGTCGATAACAAATCACGGTCACTTGTTTTGTCAGTGATATTTAAACGCAGCTGACCCAATATTTATCATGGAGCGAATATAAGTTATATTATTAACATAAGAAATTCTTGTATATAAATAGTAATATGGAATCCTTGGATCGATCGTTCCCGTGAAATGAAGGACTTTGGCGATGATGAGTTTCCTAATATGCTGTGCGTAGAGGCTGGTAACGTCACGTCGCCGATCATATTACTTCCGGGAACTGCCTTTGAGGCCAGTCAGATACTTCAGGTACGTTTTTGGGAACTTTATTTGATCTTTTTTCTTATAGAAGCCCAAAATCCACAGCAATTCAAATGTCCCGTTGACATATTTAAAAATAAAAAGGCGATTAAACCCTTAAAATGAAATACATTTCAATATTACTCAGTAATAATAATTTATTCAATCCTATTGTTTTCTTGTTCTTGATACGCAGATCATTATCGAGGGAAATGTCAGTCGTAAGACGAAACGAAATCGCTAGCGTTTAAAGAATCGGAACCCAATGAGGTAAACCGATTCGTAAAAATACAAAAAAGGTAAAGGACAGACAGGGGGGCTGGGGATCTAGTCTCATCTGGGATGACAACTTCTGCTACGAAGTTGCAAAATCTGCACAGATTTAGTTTTTTAATTTTAAGATTAACTAGCATATAATAAAGTATGTGCAAATTTTTACAATAACGTAATTTCAAGACTCAAAGTTGTACTAAATATGGTTGCTTAAACTTATATACATATGTATGTATCTGTATAATTAAGTTCAAGATTGCTACAATATCTTAATTTATCAAAGGTTGTGCTTGACTTTGAAAAGTTATTTCGAAACCCAATATGTTTGTGCTTGGCTACTGAGGCCTTAGTTTAGGGACTGTTCACATTGATTAACCGAATTTTTAGTGCGTTCACATTTTGCAGATATTACTTTGAAAGAGATGAATACTAAATTTAGTTTAATTTTGATTACTTCGGTTGGTCAGTGTATATTCTAATAGTGAGACGTTTTCAAAGCTCTCATAAAAAAAACGTACATAAAATTAATCATACATACATAGCTACAGTTTGTTAATAATATATACATATGTACATACATATTATGTATGTAGATTATTAGGACTTAACGATAATCTATTTCGCAAATACCGTTGTAAAATTCAATTCGATGACAATTTTCTAGATTCGGGTTTCTCTGTGTAAACAAAATTGTGCATGCAATTGTGAGAGATTTGCATATTTTTCTTAAACAATAAACAACACATAATAATAACCTATAACATAGGTTCGTAAGAATAAGATATGCACAATATAACAATAAAATATGCAACTTGTATACGATACGATATAAATATTTCTAGTTAATAACTTAATGTATAATACTAAAAAGAAATACACAATAATATGACTACAGAAAACAGTAAACTGTGACAATTTAATATGCAATTGAAATGAGATTTTTTATTTTATTTAGTTTTCTATAAACATGAATAGTTTCAACTTAAAATCCTTAACTGTTTTCGATTTGTTACAAACGGAGCAAACTGATCAAAAATCATGTATATTCCATGACTGATATTAGACACAATTCTTTGTTTGTCCGTCGTCAGGCGTTTCTGGAAACATATTCTCATAAACAATGTCTTTATTTATAAACATACAACTTGTACATACCTTGTATTCATAATTTACTGGCATCACAAATTGATAGCCTAGCAACAGCATCAGGATTAGGACAGGAGCTAGGAATTGACGCATGTTTACAAATTCCACCACCAACGGCTCGCAAAACGAAACTGACTTCTATTACTTCCATTACTATTGTTATATAGCTGACTCGACTTTCTAAATGTTGCTATTTAAATTATAAATAACTAAGCAGCAGCTGCTAACGATTCGCTTTACAATAAAAAACAAATACACACATTTATCAAGAAATTCAAAGTTGCTTTAACAGTTGCTCATAATTAGGGTATTAAAAGGAAATGACCAGAGATTTGAACGAGGCTGAACTGAAAAGTTACCAGCAAATTGGTATACTTCATTTTCCTTGATTTGTAAAATATTATTGTAAAAGAATCATTTATAACATATATATTTTTGTGATTTTGTTTTGCGCTATGCGCACTACCTTGAAATTAAAGAACGGATAACGACGGAAATAAAAGCTCTGGATCTGAGCCAAATAATTCATGAAAGAATCTTGAAGGTGCGATGAAACTGAACAACTAGGTGTAGTGAAGTGCACTGAGCAAAGATCATTTTATAATTATTTGCCTTTTAATAGATGCGGCATCCAGACACCATCGGGATTTCTGAAAGAGTACCACCTAATTAAACTTACCTGAATGAAGAGGGTTTTCAAGGATTTGCTTAAGAGTGCAATTTTTATTGTAATTATTTTGTCTACTTAATTCTTTCACCTATAATGTATAAATGAATCCATCCGACTGTCTTTACATTTTATTTGAACATCCTCAACCATTTAAAATATTTAGAAGATTAACTACTTTTCATACCAGCCTGAAACAAGAGGAAGAGAACTATACAAACAGAATGCCCACTTTTTCTTATAAAAGTGTACACCATTTGTATAATTAGAAATAGTTAGACCCCAGACATCCAAAACTATGTGTCAGTTGAAGTTGATAGTCCACATTGAGCTAAGTCTGCTATTTGCTAGCACCATAGTGGCACGTCCGAATATAGTAAGTTTAGCAAACAGTTTGCTCTGAACATGACTTTCTAATAATTTTTTACCTTAGTATTATGCGAGCCAAAGAAGAATACCTATACACATAGCAAATTTTGAAACAGCGGCCTATAATATTACGAATTTAATCAGGACAGCTGTATTCTTAAGGGATGATGTCATGGAGGGGAAGGGTATAAGGAGGTTGCACTTATTACCAGGGCCTGTACAACCGTTAATGGGCTTAATCACCGAATTTATAGGAAAGTCACCACTTGTAAGTATAATACACGATGTGTAATAGTATGTATACGTGTATATCTACATGCCTAATCGTATGTATTCGCTTATATTTTCAGCATCAGATCTACGAAAAAGATGAAAATGACGAAGATGAAAATTCCAGTATCAAGCCAAAGGAAGAAAGCTTCCCAAATAAAGTTTTAACAATTAGTAACTCTGGCTGGTAACAGCTGAAGTAACACACTTGTTTGCGGATCAAATGCACAGCATTACATTCTTCGAAGTGTTGAGCTGTAGGGATTTCCAAGTATGGTTTAAAAAGGTTAACATTGTTGGTTGCATTAGAAACTTCATATCGATTCGTACTTAAAATTAGTTTATTTTGAATTTTTTGCTTAAATTAGGTATTTTACATACATATATAAATTAGGCAATTATAAATATAATTGTTGGTTTTACTCCCGCATAATTGAGCGACTTTTAGAGAATTTTTGCATTAGCAATACTAAGTTATAAATAAACACTCGATCCGTTCGAGGCTCGCGTCGCGTTCTTTCTTCTTCTTCTGGCTAGTGTGCAGGCGTAAAGGAATCATGTTCACAGGAGCAAGGAAACTTAGCACACAGTTATAGTTAGAAGGAAAAGCACAAGCAGTCTAAATGAAACTTTACATTTGCCAAGAACTTAGGCTAAGCTTGGTACAGTTGTTGCTTTTTCAAGGCTAGAGATTTAATATAAATATTTATAATAATAATGATAGCATAAGTGTTATGATCAAATGATATTGCAGATAGTTTGGTGTACAGCGTTGTGTGGGTTGTGTTTTTGTGTCTGTATGTCTGTGTGTGCCTTAATCGATTTTGACAGCACTATATATTTTCAGAATGAAAACGTAGGCGGCAAAGAAACCAATCGAGCCGGTGAGGAGCCAAAAAGTTAGCACCATGAGACCTATCATGAAACGCAAAAACATATAAGACAAACTTTATTACGCTATATTTCATTAATTACCTGTATAGCCCAAATAGAGCAGCGTAGGTATGAACTCTGTGATCTCCAGCTTCGTAAAAAAGTAAAATATGCTGTAGAAGAGCACATAAACAGCCGAGCCGCCAGAGACGATGAAGCTCCTCCACCACCAGCGATAGTCCTAGAATGTAAGGAAAATTTTCGTTTAATTATTGCAGAACATATCTATTTGTAAACCAGGAAATACGCACCTCGCCGCACAATTGAAAGTAAGTCATAACAATGGATATTTGCGCACAGCTCACAACCAAAATACAAAACACTAAAAACAAAAAGCCAAACAGGTAATAAAACTGATTCGTCCAAATGGCTGTAAAAACAAAAAATAGCTCGATGAAAACAGCTCCGAAGGGCAAAATACCGGCCATCAAGGTGCTGCAAAAAATAGACAAACAAATCAGATAAGGAAGTTATATAGCTTGTTAAGAAAACATCAGCCATATTTCGCATGTTTATAATAAAGATAGCACTTTAAAATAAACACATTATTATGTAATTCAATTCAGCTAGAATAATTAATAGTAATTGGAGAGTAGAAAACTCACCTCAATGCAACATTCATGTACCAATGCTGTGCCGGCACTTGGCGTGGTATCATATTGGTGCGCACTGGATGCTGATATGGTTGCTTCCGATAGCCCAAATAGAAGCCGAGATATACTAGAGGAACTGAAATGCCGAACCAGAGCAACAGCAACGAAATCATGGTCGTGAAAGGCACAGCACCACTTGACGACTTATCCCAAATGAAAAAGTTTAAGAAGAACCCGGTGCTGTAAACCATAAACGAAAAGAGTTTGTTATGCAACAAGGAAATAAGTTGACTACAAATTAAGCGCACCCAAAAACAATTCCGGGATAGAAGGTGGCAGTGAGGAAAGCAGCACGCTTCCACTCGCGACCTTTCATAGTTTTGTAAAGACGGGCTGCATAGTAGCCTGCAATAGTGCCCATGAAGACGTACATAAAAATGCCGGAGCTCATTAAAGCGCCGCGAGACGAGGGCGACAACATGCCCAACATTGCAAAGACTGAAAAGAACAATTAGAATAATCAATAATAGTAACGAATACAAAATTTCTAGGCACTTACATATGGTAACCATGGCCATGAAGAAGATCTGAATGCCGCTGCCTATAACAGCGGAGAATAGGCGTGTGTTTTTCGGTGGACGGAATACATCGCCATGTACCAGCTTCCAGCCGGTCTCTTCCAATGTGTCTTCAATGTTGTCGTCTGTATTGTATCGCGCAATATCGCGACGCAGCGTGCGAATGATGATCATGGTGAGAATGCCCGATAGGAAGAATACCACTACCAGCGAATTAATAATGCTGAACCAATGGATCTGTACATCGCGCATGCCCAAGTAGATGTCCCAACGTGAGGCCCAGCTCACTGAGGACTCTTTCCACTCGACCGAATAGGTAAAATATAGCTGTGTTTCGCCATTCGGATTCACCAACTGTGGACGTGCGCTGTCAGGGAAATTGCAGAGATCACCCTCGAATTTAATTTCCTTGTGATTTACTGATCCAGTTTCCACCTCAAAGCCAACAACCCGGAACTTGTCTCTAGTAAAGGCAAGCAAATACAAATTATTTGTAGACAGTACAATGGGTTCAACTACAATGGAAAACTTACTTGGTGTGCATGTGATAGGAAAGGATAAACTTTAGATGATTGTTTACGTAGATATTATCGCCATCAACTTGACCCAAGCGATAGCCATGCTCATAGGTCACCTCGCCGGGATTGTTTGCATTGACAATGCGCGTAGCCACAGGAAGATTATCCACCAGTCTACAAATACATGCAAAAAAACCATTATTATGGATCAAAACGGTAGAATAATCTGACTTACAAATGCACAAAGTATTCATGTTGTATGCGCTCCGCCACCATGGCCGAGTCTTCCTGACTCCACGTCAGTGGCCTATCTTTTTTGTTGCACAGCAGCTTGCAGTTCACATTTTCGGCCATCCGCACCTCGTAAGGTGTGTTTACGATACGATCACCACGCAGTACCTCACCCAAGTTCTCCGATTTGAAAATCAGCGTACCGTTCTTGGGATAGCAGAATTTAAGAGAGTAGTACTGATAAGGTAGCTGGGTGCGACTGCTGGTCATTTTGACTGCCTTAACATCGATTTTTTGGCCACGCACGAACTCGACGGGCGCAACGCCGGGCACGTAAAAGCTATGCACACAGCAGCAGAGCGCCAGCAGCGAGAGGAGCAGCGGCCATGGCCTGGGCGCGCACTATAAATAAAAAAAGACAAAAGTATCAGTTTCTTGAAGATTTCAGAGAAATAAGAATTAGAAAAGGCTCGGCTCCAGCAGCAAAGTGATTGCGTGTCCGTTTCGCGGTGCAACGCTTTTCTTAGTTTATTGTATAGTTTTAGTAATACTCCAGACAGTTGACTTACCTGCATTATTGTATTAAAAGGCTAAATAATATGCACTAAGTTCCTGTAAACTAGAAATTTGCAAGTAATAAAATATAGAATGGTGGAATCTCTTTTCTTCCTTAAAATTTTATACGCCTACGTCTATCAATCGCCGTCATTTGCTTCTTCCGTCAGCAGTGGTGCCAGTGTATAATAACGTTACACCGCAGAGTGTGCGGTAACGTTTTACTGTCGCTACTTCAATAAAGTTATCGATAAAACTAATGCAACAGTGCAGATAGAGTGAACTAGAGATGGCCACAGCTGTGTCAGGTGTTAATAGAAGGCGATGTGGAAAATCTTTGTAATTATGTGAATTAAAAGTATTGTTAGTGTTAAATATGTGCTACAAATCTCATTAGTTTAAGTTTAGTGTTTTTAGTTTTTGTTCAGTTTTTATAGGGCCACAAAGTTCGGCATTTTGCAATTGCGTTTTTGTTGTTCTCGTCAGTGTGTATGTGTGCTAGTTGTTGTTGTTGGTGTTGGCTTCAAGTATTGCAAGGCCGTGTCAAGAGCTGTTGTCCTCGAAGGCGCAACAATTAGGACGCGCAACAAGGTGGGTGGCTTTGTATATGCCAAACAAAAGTAGGTTTGAGCGTTTCTGGCCCAAGAAAATCAATAATAGTCAAAAAGTGCATACAAAATACATAATGTGTCTGTTTGCATGTGTATGTCAAGTATGTCCGTTTCTATAGGCGCGCGCGTGTGGGTGTGTGTTTTGCGTATGCGTGTGTGTATTTGTGTAAAATTTGTGTACTAAACTTTCTTTTCTATTACAATAGGGCCGATTTCACAGCTAAATACCAAAACGTAGCATAATATGGACAACGCGCAGTCCGCGGGCGATGACAGCGATAATGATGTGGTCACTGATTTTCTAAACTCCAACTGCAATAGCAGCGAGGCTACAACAGCAGCCACCACAGCCACAGTTCCAGCAGCCGTTTTTAATGGCGGACAGCACAGTGTAACAGCAACAGTCAATGCCAAATCCTTGAACCAGACGCCGCGCGTCTCTGTCGAGAGCCAAAATTACTGTATACCTATTATAAACGCACCTGCATCTGCATCTACACCAGCACCTGCCAGAAGCAACAACAACAACCACCCTGTCAGCAATAGCCATTGTGCCAGCAACAACAACAACATGATTCCCACCATAAACGTCACACCACACAGTCCCGCATCGGCGAGTAAATACAATAACATATTCGAGGACACGCTCAGCCAGCTACAAAATATCCGCGAGACTGTGGTGCAAATGAAAAACTCCAGCCAGCATATGCAAGATGGTCTGTCCAACTATGGTCTGCTAAATGCGGCCATTTTGAGCGCTTCGCTGCCCGATTTAAGCGGCGGTAATGGTGCCGGCAGTGGAGGCGGAACCTCTGGCCCACATTATGTTATGTGGTCGACAGCTCCGCAGCAGTGTCTCCTCAACACGGATCGACGCAAGTCCTGGACAACAGTCGATGATGCTAGCGTTGCTGGGGACTGCACCAACAAGAGCGTCAGCCTTTCCAGTTTGGACAGCGAAGAGCAGGAGACAATACGTGTGACCGAACAACGACGCCGTTCTGCCCGCAACAGTACCGGCGGTAAGTCGAACTACCCTAAAACTTCATTTAACAGTCGGGAACTAAACGTTTTCTAATCATGTATAGGAACAAATAATATAATTATCCCACAATTCTAATAAAGTAGTTAAATAGATAATTATTGAAAGCATAATGTAAGCATGCATAACATTAATTAGTTTTGTTTTAAAAGCTTTCTGATACGGGAAACATCTGATAAAATCACCGAGAGAAATTATAACTAAGTCGAAGATTTCATACACTCATAAGCAAACTTTTTGTACAAGTATATGTATACGGATAAGCACTAGCCGAAAGTAATTGCCAATTTTGAAAAAAGTCCAAGAGTTCCGAGAGTTATGGAAAGTAGCGGGGGAACGGGAGGAAGGAACATAATGAACATTGTGCTGTGTACTCATATAGAGTATCTGTGTCCAAAATTTGTTTGTATCTAGCTCTTAAAGTCCCTCAAATCTAGCTTTTTATACAGACAGACAGTCTTGCCATGCTGACATTCTTCACTTCGCACAAACTTAATATACTCTTGTACCTTTCAGTTTTGATGTTCAATTGCTTTTCTAAACTTGGAAGCTACTTAACGAATAGTCCTAAAACCAAGATAAAAGCAAACCAAATGAAACCATATAGTAGAGTATTAAATTGCTGTCATATGAGCTGAAGGCTTACAACAGATGTAATGGAAATATGTATTCTTTATATTCCTCATCAATTATGTATATGTTTATTTAGCTATAGCAATGGATTGAAGAAAAAGAAAATGCTGCTTTTAAAAGTGCACAATTTAAAAAGTTAATCCGAAAAGTCTGTTGAATTTTTTTAAAACAACCCAATGTGGAAGTCCAAAATTACTTGCTCGCTTCTCTGTCGAAATGTGAAATTCTATAATGTAGTTTAGTTGCAAACTATAGGTGTAAGAGCACTAAAGTTTCGGCTTTCTAAAGCTTTTGAACATTTGTGAGTCAGTGCTTAATTTATTGACCATATAGGAAAAAGCAAATTAAAAAGCCGCCAAGTTTCAGATTGATAAGAAATTCCACAAAAGCCCGTTATCAGAAGTCTTGGTGTTGGCAAGAGGCAAGCCACTATTGCCTGATAAGCCGCACACACACAGCGTATATACACCCACACACCTTTCCAGTCACCTTGCATATTATACATGTGTATGTGGTCTAACCTCTTTTGGTTTGTGCATTTTCAGGCATTTCCACGCACTCGCTCAATGAGGCGGAACTGGCTCGCGACTTTGAACGGATTGCGGCGAAGAGAAGTCTCGCAACAGAGATCATCAGTCGAATTCCATTGCAGAAAAGCATCTCGACCTCATCGATAATTGCCAAGGAAGATATAAAGGCAATTGCTCGCCATTTGACCGACAGCGAGGATGAGAATCAGAGTTTATTGCGAGCGCATGCCAAAATCGAAGTTTATGATAACGTTGAGAAACGACGCAAACGAGGATCGCTCTTTTTTCGGAAAAAGAAGGACAAGGCTAAGATGAAGTCGATTGGGGGACAGTTTAGTGCCTGCGATGTGTGTGGCGCCCAAATAACGCTCGCCCAGATCAAGGAACATCAGCTGGAGTGTAAGCTGCAGAGCAAAAGGTTGATGGCTGGAGCCGGTATGGGCGGCAAGGGGCAAGCTGGCCAGGATTACTACGATGGCAATGATGCACATGCGCTCAACGATGATACGCCGTTGATTCGCGCTGAATTTCTCAATGAGCCGCCTATAGAAGCGCATGATTTGGGGGCGGATCCGATGCTGGGCATTGTGCTAAAGGAGCACGACTCCTGGACTCCTGGCGTGCCAAAGGATTTGTTGAAAACTCTGAAGGAGCTGCAAATCAAGCGACAGGAGCACATATACGAGTTTATAATGACAGAGAAACATCACTGCCAGACGCTGCTCGTCATGCAAAAAGTGTTTGTGGAGAGTCTGGAGCGGCATTTTCCTGCCTTCAACATACACAGCATGTTTCCGCGGCTCCAGCAGCTGACCGATCTCCACACCTGCTTTCTGCGACAACTTCGCGAAAAGCAACGCGAGCAGCCTTTGGTGGACACAATTGCCGACATATTGTTGGACTTTTTTTCGCTGGAGCAGGCACAGTGCCTGCGTCTGGCCTATGGTGAGTTCTGTGCAAACCATCGGACCGCACTCGAGCAATTCAAGCAGTGTCTAAACGAGCCGAACTTCGCCGAGTGGTATAAGCACTGTTTGCAGAATCCGCTGCTCAAGAAGAAGGGAATACCCGAATGCATTCTGTTTGTTACTCAGCGTCTGACCAAATACCCGTTGCTGATTGAGCCGCTCCTAAAAAGCGCACGCGATAATAAGCTGGAAACGGACAAACTGCAGCATGCCCTTAATTTGGTGAAATCCCTGCTGGTCGATGTTGATGCCTGTGTGGCGGAGAAGGAGCTGCGCGAGCGTCAGCTTGAGATCTATGCACGTGTGGATGCCAAGTCCTTTGCCATCTACAAGAACAAGCCTTTTCGCAAGACCGAGCTGGGAGTGGAGTCGCGTCGTCGGCTGAAATTCGAGGGTCTCGCCACCCTTATGCAGGGCCGCGCTAAGACCCAACTAGTGTTGGTGGTGGTACTCACCGACTGCCTATGCTTTCTCAGCGAGAACTCAGCCCATAATAAGTACACCTTCTTCACACCAGAACACAAAGCAGGTGTGGTGCCTCTGCAGAAGTTGCTCATAAGGGAGAAGGCCGGTACGGAGTCGCGCGGCATTTACATTATCTCCAGCAACCCGGACTTCCCCGAAATGTACGAACTAAAAGTGCAGACGCCAAAGGATAAACACATTTGGATACAATCTATACGCCAGGCGGTGTTAGATTGTCCGGCCACAGACATCATTGAGGCCGAGGACTTGACGGCAGAGGAGAAATTGCGTATAGGCGTAAACAAGCGAGAGACCATCGAGAAAATGCGCCAAAAGGACATTGAACAGGCGCTCCTATTGGAGGAGAAACTGATGCTGCAGCTGAATCTTATGAAAGAGCACCAACACTTCAGTGCAACCCCCGCAACGAATGGCCAGCCAGCGGCGATGAGCGCAGCCAATTTCCTGGCAGCCTTTGGCTCATACAAGGAGCTCGTGAATGCCGACTGCGATACGACTGAGCTATGGCGGCGTGTGCTCAACACTGTGCAAGACATCAGTCAGCTGGCGGCGACTATTTACACCGCCGCCACAGGCCTGCCCGTGTCTCGCACGGTTAGCTCTGTTGGTGAGAAGCAGAGCGACAACTATAACTCCCCCACATTGCCGAAGCGGGCGGAAACCTTTGCAGGCTTTGATGAGAAACGCGGAAAGCTTGGAGCTGCATTTCCATGCCGTGATGCCACCAAGCTGGCGACGCTCCAGGTGCTCTCTCCACGTCTGCAGGAGCTGGAGGAGAAACGCGAGCTGAAAACTACTGCAACACCAATGGCTGTGCCGGAGCCACCCCAACTGCATGCCAGCACCGTGCCAGCGGCCATTGATGCATCGGCGCTTAAGGAATACAACTATGCTGTGCTGCAGGTCTCCCATCACCTGCACACGCTGCTCTGCATAATCTCGCAGCAAATGACGACCATACAGAGCTTGCAGCTGCAACTGGCACTCTATAGGGAAAGCCCACGCAGCGCATACACACACAACGATCAGCTGGAGGAATTGCGCAATCTACAGGATAAGCTGCAAGAGGAGAAAACCGCCTGGTTGCGTCAGAAGGAGCAGCAGGAGCAGGAACTGGCCGAGACACGTGCCCAACAGCTGCAGTTGCAACAGCAAATCAAGGCAGAGCAGGAAGATGTGCGACAGCAACGAGAACAGCTGTATCGCAAAATGGAGCTGCTGAGCAGTCAGGGATTGCTACTCTCGCCCAGCACCACACTTCCCATAGCTTCGCCAACGCTGGCAGCGGCTGTGGCGGTGGCTGCAGCCGCATCGGCCACTGCCGATGACAGCCACGAGACGGATAATGGTGCTCCAACTGTTCCCACAACAGCTACGACACCGGCAGGCACTGTGGATCGTCGCAAAGATAAATGGCGTACTGCCTCGACTATATCGAAGACGCCGCCTGTGAATCTGCATAGCGCCACAAACGCGCCCAAAGCCAATGCGGCCACTGTCAAGCAGAAACTGCCCATGAAGCTATCCTCTCTCTCCTCTACCACCAGCAGTAGCGCGACGCGCATCGATAAATCTGCCAGTTTCAACAATTCCAGCCCCAATGTGGGGGTCCAGCAGTTATTTCCACTGAAGCTAGCGGATAAGCGACAAGCGGCAGTAGCTACACCTACTTCCACTGCCGCCTCACCGTCCATAGTGCCGCAGCACTCTCGCACGGGCAGCTCCCCTGCAATTATTCAACAAACGGGGGCTCACACACCCACCAGCACCGGCGGAATATCACGTGCGGATTCCGCAGCCACACAGCCCCATTACGCGCATCATGTCGTAACGCCGCATCAACGCTTAGGTGGACAGACTCCCACAAGCAGTCGCAACATGAGCTCCCGGACGAATATTACACCAGTGGTGGTGCCCAGCGGTCAAGCGCCGCGTGCCAAACCCGAGGAGGAGGAAATTTACTTCTGACGCAAATTCACGCCAGAAGTAGAAATCTAAACACACATCTCATTCCAAAGCAACATAACATTCCACATATCCATATCACACTCTTCCCCTCTCGCTATATACATATGTACATATGTATGTATAACTAACTATGTGTGCAATAACTCATTAATTGTATGTAAACACAAAAATGTTTGTTCCACACAACGTATTTACAAGAAACTAGCATCTCAAACTGTAGTGCAGGCTCTCAAACTGTAAACGATACCTTGCTCAATGCATTTTGAATTCTCATTGCATTTTATTAACTGACTATACTTACTTGTATTCCTTTTTTTAGACTTTTTAGTATGTGTATGTGTGTTGTTTATTAACTTATTTACTTATAACAAAGTATGTAACTCTATTTTGAATGACGCGTTCATTTTGTTCTGAAACGAATTTTTCATACTTCCAAATATAACTATGTACTTAGATATTAAGGTATTAAAACCTCTAGGCAATAAAACTTATATACTTACATATGTATGTGTAATTGTTGAATTTGTGCGCGTCTATATCTATCTTAATATACATATATAGTACATATATATAGCAATTAAATATACATATACAAATATTCCAAAATATGCTTTAAAACGGGATAAAAATTGAATGAAAACAATGTAATCTGCGCTTCAATATTTTTTTTGTATTATTGTATGTACATTACAAATTTTTTTGCAAAATTCAGCTTGCTATCGCTCCAATAATAAATGTTAAATTTAAATTTAATGTAACAAATATGAAACGTTGTTTAATTCGAAATTATCGATCGTTTATTTCCATCAAATAAAACTAGAGGCGATTGTGACTGAAAATAGAAATTCTCGACATACACAGAATCGAATTGGAAATACGAAACGACTTATTTTAATTAAATTAAAAAGCGAAATTTGCTTTCAATAGTTTTAAAATTATATAGTTTAATGATTAACAAATCTGAAGAATGTAATAAATTCCGAAAAGAATTCTTCAACAATATTTTATGACTTAAAATAACGTTTATTTAATCCACTTTGGTAAGCACTTCGACACCCGTCTCAGTGATGAGTACTGTGTGTTCGAATTGCGCGCTCCGTGCTCCATCTAAGCTAACCGCCGTCCAACCGTCCTCCAGCAATGCAATATCTGGTCCGCCTAAGCTTAGTATGGGCTCAATGGTGAATGTCATGCCAGGCTGCATCTTACCCGGAGCGTCATTATCTGTAATATATGCAAATATTAATTTCATTTGCCAATATTTACATTATGGAATACCCTACGATGATGATAGATCTCGGGAGGTCCATGAAAATAGCTGCCGATGCCGTGGCCAATGAATGCGGCTATGGACTCCAGATTGCGTTCCTTGCAGTACCTCTCAATAAATCGACCGATGTGGTTGAAGGGCACACCCGGACCGCAGAGAGCAACGCACATGTTGAGACATTCGCGTGTCGAGTCCACCAGAAATCTACCCCGCTCGTCTACGTTGCCCACGAGAAACGTTTTCGAGCAGTCTCCGTGATAGCCGTTGAGATAAACCGTCACATCGATGTTAATAATGTCGCCGTCGGCGAGAGGCCGATCATCCGGCACCCCATGGCAGGCCACATTATTGACTGAAGTACAGATCGACTTGGGGAATCCAGCATAGCGTAGTGGCGAGGGATATGCACCCGCAGCAATGATGCGCTCATGGGCAATGCCATCAATCTCGTCCGTGCTCCTGCCTACCTTCACCAGCTCCCCACAATATCGTAGGATCTGGGCTGCCAGTTTGCCACTTCCCCGCATAAATTGTATCTGCTGTGCATTCTTAATTTCCGTGCTACCCAACGTATTGCCAGGCACGGAGTTTATCTGGTAATAGTATGGAGGCTTCTCTATGTTGTCGGGCACCTCTCGCTCTGGGGAAACTTTGCCGGCTTCGAAGATCTTTTGCCATTCCCCGATGTCTCTTTAATATAAAACAGTATATTTTAAACCCACTTGCAGACCTGCTAGAATGTTCATATAATCCATACGTACTCCTTGTTTTTGCCGAACTTGAAAAAACTTCGACACAAGAACTGACCAGGAGCTCTTCTATACAATGCTGACAACATTTCCACTTCGCTTTAACATTTCCCACTTCCAAGTGATTGCTCAACCAACATATGTTGCGGTCGCTTTGAACAGCTGATTGCAGACAGGGGCGCAACTAAAAGGGGGTCGTAACGCATACACGCTGACCAATTTGATTTCAGAGACTAAAAGAGCTAGAAACACCAAATTTTGTACACAGATGCCATATATGTACATACATATGTACGCTAGGCAAGTTTATTTTATTTTTTATGCACTCCCCCATTTTCCGTTCCGTATGTATAATCAGCTCTTTCCTTCCGCTCGCTCCTCGCTATATTCCACAGCTCCCGTAATTCTTGGATTTTTTTCAATTACTTCCGGTTAGTGCTTATTTGGCCTTTTGTTAAGTTTTTTCATGATATCCAATTTGAAAGGAAGTTATAGCCAAACATGAAATCCCTGTCGAAACTCTTTCAGCAGCTGTTGTTGTACTTGCTGCTTCGGCACAACTCAATACTGCACACATGCTCACAACAGACACGCATAGGGAATATTCCAATATACATATGTATATGTGCAGTATTAGCGTCGTTCTACCTAATTTTACCAAAAGGCATGGAAGTGTGGTAAAATTATTGCTGCTGTACGTTTGGTTACATTTAGCTATGTTCCGTTATGTACTTTATGCGTCCATTTGGTCATGTAACTTTTTTGTGCACATTCGAAATTAAAGCAATACAATGGCCGTCACTTCTTGAACTCGTTTACTTAACAGCTGCAATATGGTAACTCGTTGTTTCCTTATGAACACCTGGTATTTTGCTATTCGGCGCACCCCTTCTCGTTCGTTTTTAATATCACCAAAATGACCCACCCCCTCCTAAGATTCAAAGCAGATTTTGAACGAAACATAAAAATGTAGTAAGAAAACGAATATATTGTGAATAGCACTAGATTTCGTTACTTTTGCAAACGTACCGTTGCTCTTCAGTTGATTTTTGCTTGTGTTTAAATTTATTTCCTGTTCCTTTATGCGCCTGTGTCATGCAGTCTGTGTCTAGTTTCCCTACAAAAAGATGTATCAAATAAAACCAGAAGGTGTATTTTTAACGACTTTTACACGCATTATCCATCAGGTAAACATAAATCAGCAGTACGCAAATCAATTGCTTGCAGTTTTATGAAATACTACCAATAGGAGAGCAGCTTGTTTACATTTCCAAATTAACCGCTAGGACTGTGCAGCCATTTGTGTTACAGCTGATTTGTGATTACACTACAGCAGGATTGTTTGGTGCCCATTTATGTTTGGCTGGTATTTATCAAACGAGGTTGTAGTTTGTGCCGGCCAGAGAACGCCCGTCAAACCTTATCGGCAGTGCAGCAACATTCTTTCGACATGCTCTTTCCTGGTTCACCTCCACTGTGAAATAACTAATTCCCAACGAATTTGTAACTCATTTATTACCAGGCAACCATAAATAAGCATTACCCAAACGAACTGTCGGTCGTTGTCGTTGATTTACTTATGTTTTTTTCAATATGGCGTTAAGAAATGAAATGCAACCAATGGGAGAACATCCAGCTTGCTTACATTTCGCAATATGCATCATGCGGCCATCACTCCGCCAGCTGCTTTTGCTTGTTTACATTTGGAAATTCACCGTTAGGATCGAACAGCCATGTTTTATCAAAAACGACCAATAGGAAAACACCAGTTTGTTTTCATTTCTGTAACTCAAAATGGTTGCATGATTTAAACTGCACCTTTACAGCCAAGCAGCTATTTCGAGTTACAGCAGACTTGTGATTGCGATGGCTGTCGCATCATAATTATTATAATACAAATGTTTCGTTTTATTGATTCCAATTGCATTTAAATTAATGAAATTGCACTTATAATGTTACACGATATCAATAGAATGAATACGTTTTACGTGTTTCTGAATTAAAAAAAATTGTTTATTGTAAATTTTGCTACACATTACATCAAAAAACTTAATTCAAAATATAATTTGTTTTCTTTTAGCCGACTATTACAAATTTGTATACAAGACCTTGTTATATACATACACTTATCGGCTTAGTTTGTGGTTTTATGGGGTCTTAAGGAATATGTAATTAGGTAAATAACAGTAAATAATAAAAGCATTACCCGGCTTTTTTAGGGTGGGCTTAAAATATGCGTTTTTAAATTATGGAAGTTCTTGAATTATTTCATTTACAAGCTTAGAGCGATATATTTTGTGTGCGCTGCATAGCTGGCCAATTCTCGCAATGAATCGGATTGTTGTTAATTTTGAACACTTCTTTTGCTTGTTACCTTATAAGACTTGTTTCTCGATACAAATAATAAAAAAAAGTAAATAAACTCAATTTAAAAAAAACAGGCAGATATAGTTTCCAAAAATTGTTTAATAATTCTTTTCGTTTGCAGCAAGAGAACGCTCCACGTAATTATAGAATTGAACTAGAGAAGAAATAAATAAATATTGTTTTCATTTAATATTTTATCATTAAGCTTCTTATATGAAATATAAAGTGTTTTCTTGACAGCTATATTTTGGTATCATTAAGTTTTCTTTATTATAAGCAAGTAATTGAATTATTTTGGATGATTTCAGACTTAAAAATAACTCTAATGATAAAGTCGACAATCGAAATATCTTGCTGTAGGATTTAGGAATCAATTCATTTTTCAGCGTTTTAAGTTCTAGTTAATAAATTTACACGTATAATTAGTTTGTTTCTTCTAATATAATATTATCTAGTTACCAAATTCTTGGGGGAGCGCCAACAATTAAAATTATACATATATTTTTAAAAAGTGCTGTGTATTTGTTTATATAATTAGTATCGTTAAGTCTGCAGTGCCATTAACGGAAAATATTTATCATTGCTTTATTTAACGCTACTTCCAACATTTAATCAATTTTCCAAACGTTTTACAAATTTGAACAGGTCGCAAAGATAATGTTGTAGTTTGATTTTCTAGTTGGCCTGTGAAATGTTATGGCTCCGATTCTTAGCGTTTACTACATGATATGCCTGCTGTCCGCTATGCAGCGCTCACAAGATATATCGCGCAAACTTGAACAGCTCTAAGCTTCTAAATGAAGTAAGCGAAGAACTTCCATGACTTACCTTGACTACCCCAAAAAACAATTACCTATGTTATATTCCTAATTCAATAAAAAACCACGACCTAAGCTGATATGTAAGTGTATGTATAAAACTAGTTCAGGAATACAAATTTAATTGGTTGGTGAATTGAATACAAATGCAATTAGAATCAATAAAATGAAACATTTGTATTATAATTATGATGCGACAGCCATCGCAATTAAATCCATCGGTAAACAAATCATTTACCAAACGTGTATACTAAGAAGTCGACAAGTATAGGCTGACGACGACGCAGCTGTTTTTAGAAGCTATAATTGGTTCTAATATTCTGACCGTTTCGAGCAGCTTAGCATGGTCTAAATAATTTTTTACGAAAGTAGACTTGTCCCAGCAAAGGCCAACCTCATAAGTTTTGCAAAAGGATGCTTACAAGCTCAGCAGGGAAATCTATAAAAAATACATTCAAAAAAACAAAAAGAATATACTTAAGCCGATACAAATCGGTGATAAAAATGCGATGTGCTCGGAAATTCTTATACCTCGCACCAAAAACTTGTTTTAATACGTTGTATTTCAATTCGAAAATTGTGATTCCATACTTTGTTTTTATCCGTTTTGAAGCCAGCTGACTTAATCAATGAAGTAAAAGTATTGACCTGGAACAAATAAAACTATTAGTTTTAATAAAAATTGAATTCAGTATACATATGATTGATCATAAAAATGTATTAACTTCTTTGAAGTAATGAAATCCTATACTATAACCAAAATTTTGTAAATACCGCAGTTTTGTTAAACAAAACAAAAAAGAGAGACTATGTAAACATTTGCGCACAAGTAGACCAGACGACAAATTCATGCTGAATTTACAATTGTCGGTTTTAAATGGAGCAAGTAGGTTGGAGTACAATGCGTTCTAGTTTACAGTTCTAGCTCCCCAATCGAAACTCAACCAAACCGGCGTACATAAGCAAAAAAGGTTTGTTGTTCAATTTTTAATAACATCATCGTCGATCTTCGCAATCGTCAGCAGAAATAAGAAATGCTGGAATTTTAGTTAAGACAACGCCGGCGCTTCTTCTATATGCATATAACATACAGATATAGATAATATATCTTTATTACATTTTATAAAAACTATTTGCACATTTGAAATTTTGTATTTCTATAAAATGCTGGTTCTTTCTTTATTAAAATCTAATAACTTCGTTGAACGTTAAACTTAACTGTTACAATATTTATTTGTATTTACATAACAAACCTGATTTACAAAATCTTAAAAGTATTCAAAGGCTTGAGCTAATACTCAAATTGGCTCTTGCGGGGACATTTATTCTTTGTGTGACCCTCCTGCCGGCAAAGTCCACAGCGACGTGCTCGATTACCCGACCCCGAACTAGAACCATCTCTGCTGCCTTGATTTTGTGAACTTGACGGCGCGGCGGCAGCTTTTGAAGTGCTTGCTGTTTAATGGAAATGTAATTATAGGTGAATACAAGTTTTGACCTTTGTTTGAGCAAAACGTACCTTGATTGCCATCCACATCGCCCCATTGAAAGAAACCACAGGACTTTTCACGATTTGGACAGGCGTAGAATGGACGTCCCTGATTGGGACCATCCTTACGTACAGTTAAGCTGCTGGCGGGTTTATTGCATTTGCATTGAACAGCATTTGTGTCGTGGGCGGTTTTTGTGATAGTCATGGTGCCGTTAAAGTTGGAGCGACTGGCTGACCAATTTGAAGTGCTGGATTGCGAGCCTGACCCCGAGCCCCATGAATATGTTTCATTATTGTTACTCCTGGTCTTCGACGAATTGTTTTCCATAGCATCGTTTCTGGAACCGCTGGCCCAAGCTGTCTGAGCGCTACCCCAGCTATAATTACTTGATTCTCTAATTGTAGGGGGCGTCGAATTATTTTCGACAGCATCGTTTCTGGAACCGCTGCCCCAAGCTGTCTGGGCGCTACCCCAGCTATAATTACTTGATTCTCTAGTTGTTGGGGGCGTCGCGTTTCTGGTACCCCACGTATTGTTTGGCGTCGCAGAGTTTGCAGAACTTGCCGGCTGCTCATCGGCCCATTGAAAGAATTTACATTGGTTTGACTTGGGGCAGCGGTAGAACGAACGCCCCTTGTTGGGCCCATCTTTGCGCACAATCTGCCCCCGTGCTGGTTGATGGCAACCACTGCAAAGCACCACCGACCCAGTTGCAGTTCCAGCATCATCATCATTATCATTTGGTTGCCACTCATTACTTAGGCGTGGCCGCTTTGCTGCCGGAGGGACTGTTGCTGCGGCGTATGTGCTACGTCCTTTGGTACCCCAAGTCATTGGCTCCTCCTCTGCCTCGTACTGATGACGCATCCAGCTGGTTAAGCTGGTATCCAAATCAGCGGTTGGCCACGCTGCGGTGGCAGTAGCGGCCGCAGTGGTAGTAGCTACCCCACCAGGGGGTGGAGACGGTGGGGGCTGTGCATTACTGTCGACATTCAGCAGCGCCTCAAAGTCTGCATCGTCATCGGCAGCAAAAGCAGCGGCTATGTCATCTATCAAAGCGGCATCCGCAATATCTTTGACTTCTTTGGGAGGCATATTTCCACTTGACTCTGCCATCGCTGCAGCCGTTAACAGATCCTGATCAAAGCCATCGTTGCTATTAAAGAAATCATCGAAGGCGACTGTGTCACTACCTGTACTTGTTATGTTGTTATTGCCGCGAGTGCTGCTCGCTGTAAAATAGCTGCGCAAATTGCCAGCAGCTCTGCCCCTACTTGCTGTTGTGGTGCTGCTTTTCTTAGACTTTGCTTGAGTTTCTGTGCCACTACTGCCTGGTGGTGGTGGCTTCTTGACTTTCGCCTTGGGTTGCGTATCATTGCCCGGCCTGTTGGTTCTCGCAGGCGCTTGCCTGGGTGCCTCGCCCACAATGCCTCCTACAGCCTTCACGCTATCCACGTTAATGTTGAACGTGCTGCGAAACTGACCATCACAGCGCAAGCAGGTCTTGTACCAGCCATATGGCGCCTTAAAGAGTGTGCGATAATAGGCGCTGCTTAGCTTGAATTTCAGCAGTTTGTAGTTGGCACCACAACGCTCGCAGTGTTCGTCTAAAACGGATGGCTCTTTGCACTCATCCGGCAGCCAAACAACATTTTTGCAATCCGGATAGTTTAGGCAGCCAATGAAGTATCCCGTCTGATTTTTCTTCGGCTTAAGTGCCAGAGGTGCTACTTTGCATTTCGGGCATTCATAGAGCTGTTGAATGAAGTTCGTGCCATCTGCTAGAGAGCCGCCTACACCGCCACCCGCACCACCACCATTGTCGTCATTTGCGTTACCTCCGCGGCCCGCCGTTGGTGCTTCATTTAAACGCTGCGCAATTTTCTCATCCATTGCTGTTATTTTATCCATAATTTGTTGATATGCCTGCTTGTACTTTTGTATTTGTTCACTGAGCACCAGCTTGGGATCTTTTTCGCCAAGGCATATGCGTTTCAGATCTGCTTCAAACTCAGCACGTAACAGCGGCTTCGCTAGCGCCAGCTCCATGGCATCGTAGCCCTCATAGAGGCCCATTCCAATAACGCCCGGCACGATTGCTCCCTTATCCACAACGCCAATATAGCCCCGCTCCTTAATTGTATTAATGTGCTCTGCATGCGTGGCATCTGTCCCAATACCGTGCTTCTCCATCAGCGCTATTAAATCCGCCTCAGTGAGGAGTGGAGGTGCTGTAGTTGCGCCTTCATGCAGCGCTATCTCGGTGGGTTCAAACACCTGGCCTTGCTCGTAGTGATGTATTTGTTTGGCACTCCACTTATCGTACACATACACATCCAGGTAGTTACGCTCGTGAATAACCAATCCATTGGCACTAAACTTCTCCCCGGCAATGTCGATATTAACTATTGTTTCAGACCCAACCGCATCTTTGCTGACGCAGGCCAGAAAGTGTCGCACAATCAGCTCATAGACGCGCGCCTCATTCCCAGCCAGATCTGTGAGAGTAGAGATGATTTAATGAGCAAGCTAAAGTTAGAAAATTGTTTGGCGTCTTCGATCATGATAATATCATATCGCAACTATAAAGTTATTGCAGAGTTTCTTAATTCATTAAATAAACAGTTGAAAAAGAAACAACTTACTGGTAACTAGTTTGGTGGGATGTATCGGTGGATGTGCCTGATCCGATTTGTTACCATTTCGCGGACTTGGTCCCCATTCGAGCACTCGCTGTGCAAACGCGCCCCAATTGTCGTGGCCAGTCTGCTGCTCGACCAGCGGCGTCAGATTAAATTCCTTGGAAAATTGATTGGTCTCTGTGCGTGGATAGCTGATGAAACCTTTGGTGTACAGTTTTTCGGCAATAGACATTGTCTCTTTAGCGGACAGTTTTAATTTTCGTGAGCCCAGCTTTTCCATCTCAACGGTATCCATTGCTGTAGGTCGCCACTTGTGCTTCGGCTTCACTGTGACACTCTCCACTTTGGCGCGTGGATCGCTTAGACATAAGACCAAATAATTTTCGCAGGCTTCTTTGTCGAAAAGGCGATTGCGCGCCCAGTTGAATTCGACGGTCAAGTCCTCAATGGTGTGCAGCACTTAAATTAATATTTATATTAGTTTAATGTTAATTTGTTATGTTTATTTTCCACCTACCTCTAATCTTCCAGAAAGGCTCCGAAACGAAAGCCTCAACCTCCTTGTAACGCTCCACGACAAAGCCGAGGGTGGGTATCTGACAGCTACCATATGAGATGAGCTTATCCGCGATACCTTGCGGAAATAGGCGCTGCAGACGCATAGTTTGGAAGCGAGTTATTGCCGCTCCAGTGCGTAGATCCAGCTCTGTGCGCACATCCACCGCATCGCTCTGTCGTTTATCCGGTGGTCCCAATTGCTGTAGTGCACGACGCACTGCGACCGTCGTAATTTCTGAGAAACTGGCGCGATAGACAGTAAGGTTTGGTTTGATGGCACGACATACATCGACGACTTCGAATCCAATATTTTCACCTTCGCGATCGCAATCCGTCCAAATTATTAGACCCTGGCAGCCACGTACTTCGCGTTCTAGGGTCCGCTTGATTGGCTGATAGTCCTCGGCGACGGCCTTCCGCACTGGAGCATCGAACAGTGCAGAAGGATCAACAGTCCGCCAGTTGCGATACGAAACCAAAAACTCCAGATGCATTAAATGGCCGGATACGGACGTCATTACCATTTTGGCATTTTGACCACGAACCTGGGCTTCAAAATCGAAGACCTTATTGTACACAGAGTAGCCCTCGCGCTAAATTCCAATACAAACTACCATTAGTTTACATTTTATAGCATTTAGAGGATTACTTACCCGTCTTGCCGATCCCTGTGAAAGGAGATTAGCTATGGTTTTGGCCGCATCGTGTTTTTCAGCAACATTTAAATACTTCATGTCATTTGCTCGCTTAGCGTAGTGACGCACAAAATAGGCAGCACGAAAACATTTTAGGTCCAAACGCATTAAAACTATTTAGCACGAAAAATACACACAAACTTTGGTGAAAGGCGCGCCATTCCTATTCCATGATTCCCAGTGTTCCGATAACAACTGCGGCCTTATCGATTTCGATAGACGCTGCGAGCTGTACAACACTACATTCGCCCGCAGTGAAGAGGAATTCAAATCTTACATGCATTTCAAAAAATGAGTTTGATTATTTAAATGCAATTAAAACAAATTTGTTTTTTATGTGAAATTAATGCAAATACGAAACTATTTACTTTATTTATTATCTCTCTATATAACTTCTTCTTTTGCATTCACGTTGCTATTGTTTTTGGATTTTTTCTTTTGCAATTTTTTTAGGGTTTTTTTCTGTAGAGCTCAACATAAAACCTTAACAATTATAATTATATGTGTAAAGTATAAGAAAAGGATAGGATGAAAAATTGGTAAATACAAAGCATTATGTAATTTTATGTTAAACCAATCGGCTTCTCTTTTCTTCCGCAATTACTAGGATTTGTTTCTCATATATGTACTAATATATTTTTGTTGCTGCTTGTTACGTTGCTACCCGACTTAGGTATAGATAAACACTTTCGTATGCCGTATATAACCTATATAAATATTGTGTTCAGTAAAATATTAGTAATATTTAGAGCTTTTAGTATAAGAAATAAGTTCTGTTCCTTCTTATCAGTTAAGCAGCTACATTAGTGGTTTGCACTGCCTTTTGCTTGTTACATTTCATCTTCTGTTCATCTGATTTTGCATTTAAATTGAAAGTTGTACATTAGTATACAAATAACGTTTCTGGCGTAGCCGTGTGCCAATTATGCTTCTCTACATATACAGGTGTGTAGTTAGATATAGATAACAACAAATACAATTATGTTTCTCCAACATATGGGTGAGCCTTCGATAGAGGTGCTCTAACAACGCATACGCCTTTGCAGGACGTTGCATCAACGACGCCAAGAACGATCCTCAGACTCATCGTCTTCTTCGTCATCCTCCAGCTTTATCTCTGGTAATGTATCGATTCCAATCATGGATTCACTCTCGCTGACCGACTGCAGCAGTTGCTTCGGATTTACGACTTTATCTTCCGCATTCGCTGATGTTGTCCCTACCGTTTCCTTTTCAGTGGTTGGTGCACCCATGGGCACTGAGGGTGGTACTGGCGGCGCTACAACTGGCGCCCAGGATATCTGCAATATATGAGCGAGTTACCATAAGTTACTTCCAAGTTAATATCGCTTTTTTATAACCCACCTGCAGGCGCTTATCTTTGTACATTTTGCCACGAAGCACCGCCTGTTCGGCATTGAGACGGGTCGCATAGGAGAGAATTAGCTGCGGTATTTCACGGTCCACATCGTGCTTGGAAATTTCCCCAAAATGCTGTCATTATCAGATTAAAATATATAATGCAAAATATTAGTTCGACAAAAAAATTCCAAAATATATAAAACGTAAGCCATTTCAATAGTATATACATATATGGAGCTGATACTGCGGCGTTACTCGTATTTATAGTGATAATTCACTACATCACTTATTGTGTTTATATGCATGCGTCTGGTATAACAACAATATATACAACAATTGGGTGTTAATCATCAAAATTAAAATTAACCGGTTTTTTTCTCATATTCAATATTTCTGATTATATACCCATATTCTGAGGTATTTGTTTTTATGGCCATTTCTATGAGAAAGTATTTAATATAAACCGGCTCAATGTCCAAAAGAAACGAAGCTTTTATATTAAGACATAGAATTTTGTTTACCGATTACAATACAATAGATCAAATATAATTGAAATGGCGAATCGATGACCTAAAGCGTATACGTTTATTACTCATTACTATAAGGAAACTTATGAAAGAGTTTTTTAAACATCCTGTCTAGTCCATTAGGAGAGTTCTGCATAGGCACATCCTCAATTAAAAAAATATATTTTCCCACTCACCTTGAAATGCCCCAAAACGAAGTCCGCCTCTTCGGGAGCAAAGCCCGTTACCACAATGGCTTTGGGTCGGCGATCGACGCGCGTTGAACCTTCGGGAAAAGTGGCACGCTTTCGTGCCGCTGTCGCACCCGGTACAGAGGGAAAGTGTGAGGCTTTGGCAGCACCACCACCGGCGCCTCCAATTCCGTTACCACCAGCGGATAGCGTTCGCTGCAGCTCTTCTAAGCGCTTTTGTATGGCTGTGGTGTCATTGCCCTCTTGTTGCTGGGCGAATAGTTCCAGCTCCATGTCGAGCAGCTCCTTTTTCTGTTGCTCTTTGGTCTTCTTGACGGGCGGCTGTTGTTGTTGGATTTGCGCCTGCAACTGATCCTGATCAGCATGCACATCCTTGCGTAACTTATCGATAGTTTCCTGAAGCACTTTGATCGTCTCAAGCATATTGGCACGTTGCGGATCCTGCTGTTCACAACGTTCGACGAGCTCAAGAGCCGTCTTCATTTGCTTTACATAGCTTTGGAGCAACTCCTGTTTGCGCTTTCGCAATCCGTTTGCCAGCGTCTGCACAGCCTTCTGTTGTTCCTCCTGCTTCTTGCGTATGCTGGCCTGCGTCATCACGCGTCCTCCAACATTCGTGGCATTCAACTTGAGGCGCATGGAGGCAGGCGTTGTCGTATTGGCCACGGCACCACCTGCTGTTGCTGCTCCCACTGTTCCGGCTGCATTGTCCCCCTGCGTGGACGGTACTGTTGTACCATTGTTGTTGTTGCCGGTGCCTGCTTCGCTCAAAGGTGTGGCCGCTGCTCCCGCCGTTGCCGTTTGACTAGCATTGCTAATTTTGGCAGAATCCGTATTAGGTGCTGGCATTGCGGGCACATTGTGCAGATGATATTGACTGGCATTTTTGCGTCCACCACCCATGCCGCCGCCACCCACTCCGCCCATCGAATTTAAATTGGCCGCATCGCCACTGACATCATTATGCCAGAAAACTTTAATGAAGCGGTTGTTCAGTACCGCCTCCGTGCTGCGATAGGCAACATTGGCTTCGGCGTGCGTAGAAAAAGTAACAATGGCAGCCTCCGGATCGCCCTCATATGACACTTGTATGTTCACAATTTTGCCAAATTTGGCAAAATGATTGTTGAGATGAGCTATCGTATTGAGACCGCGCGGCACCTTTCGCAACTCTAGCGAACTATTATGCTGCTGCATATTTGGATTGACACGCGGTCCGAGACGACTATTAATAGACGCCTTGCGTTTGCTCGGTACGTCTGCAATAGCAACCGTATCTTCCAGTTCGTAGCGCCGCTTGCCCATTTCTGCAACTCCGCCAGCACCACCAGCGCCTGGTGGTGCTCCAACACAGCCGCTGCCATCAACAACGGGTATTGGTATAAGCTGACGCTGTAATGGCGTGGTTACTGCCGTTGGATTGAAGGGGAACGGCATCATAGGGCCAGCTGCTCCGCGTGCATAGTCCGCTGGTGTTAAACCAGGTCCATTGGGTCCAGCCATTGGTGCGCCGCCTGGAAGTGCGCCCATCAACGTATTCGGGCGCACGTTCCCACTGAAGGGGTTAATGGTGCTGCCACCTGGCGGCGGTACAGAGCCTGGCGGTTGAGCTCCTGGCGGCGGCGCACCACCACGTGCCCATATTTCCGGCGCATCTGGATTATACTCACGCATGGACATCATCAATGCTGAATTGTTGATGCCCTCGAACACGACTGGATTGATTCCATGATCCCAAGGACAAGTCTCGCCGCGCACACAGTAGCCCTTCTCGTCGAAGTCGCGACAACGCTGACGCTGATGCTCGCCCATTGTGCCCACAGGCATGTGTTCTGGTCCAGTTTGACCCAACGACATTGCCGGCTGAGACGACGGCGGCAGCGGTAGCGCCTGTCCACGCTCCGGCGAATTGGCATTTGCATTACGACGCGAGCTACGTTCCGGCGAGATGGAGCGACTGCGCGGCGAGTGCGAGCGACGTCCTTTGTTGTTGCCAAAACGCTGCCTTTCATCAAGATTGCCACCTCCACCTCCTCCTATGCGTCTTCTATCAAAATTCCGTCTGCCACCACTGCCAGCTCCACTGTGATGACGACCGTCGGCAGCCGGTGGAGATTTGTTACGATATGGGCGCTGATTTTTCTCGCGTTCATTCACGCGCCGGTCTCGCGAACGTGACCGACGAAATATACGTTCGTTGGAGCGTGATCTTGAGCGCGAACGCGACCGGAGAGAAGCGCGTCGACGGCGACTGTCACGAGGTTGATTCTCTTTGTCCGCATAGGCGCCAGCGCCAACATTGCCTCCGCCGCTCCGTATAGGCGGACTGGCGCTCCGCACAAAGCCGCTTCCGCTTCGCTCATTGTGGTGATGATGATGGGTGGACTGATGTTGGCTGCTGCTTCCGCTGTTGCTGCTGCCGGGCAGATTGGTGTTGTTATTGCTGTTGCTTTCGTGTGTTCTGCTGCTTGCATTGTGAGAGTCTTTGGTTTTGTGCTGCAAATGATCAAAGAGAAAAGTAATTTGATTTCCAAAAATTGTACAAACTTTTGGTTGAGAGAGATGCGAATCGCTATGAATTTAAGCATCACTTACATCGAAGGCTGGCTTGGTGTGTAACAGCGTATTGGCATCTGTGGCATTTGAGGCACTGCTGCTGCTGCTAACGATGTTACTGTTGATGCCGCTGTTCGCTGTTGGCTGCGTTGCTGTAATGTAGGGTGCTGGAAGTGATTCCGTTCTTAATACCTCCCTGCTATTGTTGCTACTGCTGATTTGCTGCTGCTGTTGATGTTGTTGTAACTGAAGCTGCTGTTGAAGCTGATTACCGTCATTTTTTATCACATTATCTTTTGTCGGCGACGGTGATGCAGCTTCCAACACTGCATCGATTTCAACAGGAGCATCAATGGCCAGGACATGGTCATCCAAATCAACTGCCGCCGCAGGTGCAGCAACAGGCGGAGGCAAGATTAAATACTCCTCACTGGCAATGGCATTGAATAGTTTATCCACGAAAGTTGTTGTTTCCTCCGATAAAAAAACATCGAGCTGCTCGATCATAATACGCTTGAGATCCTTATCCGATTTGTCTTTTTTAAGCAGCGCTATAACATAGCGTGCCAGAGCCGAAGAGTCCGCATCGCAGCTAAATAATAAAGAACGGAAATGTAAATTATGTTATACCGGCATGCAACAAAAAAAAAGAAGACTTACAGTGGTTCCAGCACAACGCTTAACCAATCCTTGAGTTTCTCCGAGTTTTCTAAGATCATATTAATAGAGTCTTCTGTTTGCGTTGCTATTGTTGTTGTTGCTGATGCAGGGGGTTAATTTTTCCGCACACACATGCACAGACGCAAACGCTCCGAAAGTATATTTTTAATATGACCTCTGATGCTGGTGTTGTTGCTTTGGTCTCAACCACACGCCTTCTATGTATGCCACCGCTGTGGTTGTTTTGCGTATATTGTTCTTTATTTTTATGTACAACGGCACTCCGTTTGCTGCAATATCAATTTATTTATTATTGTCTAAATTATTTGCTGTCTTCTATGATTATTTTCCTCAATTAAATTGTCTGCCAAATTTGCAAAGATGCTTCTTCTTCTTTGACTGTCATACACTCACGCTGCTACTACAACTACCATTTTCAATGTACATATACCTGTAACAAATGCTCTGCGATGGGAAAGCGGTAATGCATATACAAACGCACAGTTTGTAATTTTAAATTATGATATTGTTTATATTTCTGAAATCATTTTCAAAAATACTCAATAACATAAATAAGGGCTTGCTTGAACGTATAAAGACCCCCTGCCACACTTCAACCATGTAGTATTGACAGCATTAAGGCTACTCGCTCGTATTCCAATAAGAAAGTTTCTCGATTTTGCTACCCGATACTTTTGCTTGCGTACGAGCCAAACGGCACACATACACACAGGCTTACACACACATACACGTACGCACACATACAAAAGGCAGCATATTTTTTTTGCGCTCAAATTTCTTGCACTTATCAAACATATTCGCATATACTAACACCTAACGCACGTACCTTATGCACTAAATAAAACTTATGCAATAGTTTTATTTAAAAAACTAGACTTTTAATTAGTTGTAATTATAATTTTTCACTGCACTTTTTTTTCGCTGCGTACAAAACTGTAGCGATAACGATAACAGCAAGGTCGCTTGACAAGTTCGCTGCATAGAATAGACCCATTTTTGTCGTTATGAAGTGTGCACACACTGCATTTCCAACGTGGACACACACTTTCGGCCCGCGTGCAGTTACATTTATTGGTGTAATTGAAATTCTAATGTGATAATCCACAAAAATGTGTACTATTGGGGAGGATGATTTCGGAGATGAAGGAGCGGCGCATGCTATGGTACCCGAGTCATCGGACTCCGGGCCAATCATGGGAGGAACCTGCACCAAGTGTGGTGTTGAATCCGAGTTTGTTTACCAATTGAAATTTCGCACTGCCGAGTGTAAAGGATGCTTTCTTAGCTACGCCCGCCATAAATTTCGTGCAAATTTGGGTGCATCCAAGGCATTGCCAAAAAATGCTGAAGTACTGCTGGTGGTGGATGGAAGTGCTGAGTCTTTGGTGCTGCTCGATATGTTGCATTATGCGCAGACACAAAACACTTTTAAGCGTTTGCATTGTAACGCACGTGTACTCATTATAGATGAGCGGGCATTGCGGGAACAACCGGATGATGATAAATCCTTGTTTGCGATTCTTCAAGAACTGCGTATTCGTTATATACCATTTGAATTTTATGTGATACAGCTGGGATCAAGTTTAAACGATCTGCAAAAGTTGGACGAGTACGTCCCAAAGTACGGGACAAACGAACTATGCTCCACACTGGTGAAACTGCGCAGTCTGACAGCACGCCAGGACTACTTACACCAACAACGTAAAATTTTCATAGCTTCAGTTGCTCACAAACTAAATTGTGGTCATGTATTCGAGCCTAGCATTAGCACAACGCTGGCCACACAATTGTTGACGGCAATAGCGTTGGGACGAGGCGGCAGTGCTGCTTTGGACGTAGGCCTGCAGGATGATCGTTTGCATAGTGGTGTGAAGCTTCTGCGACCTCTCAAAGATCTAAACGAGCAGGAAGTGCAATTTTATGTAGACGCACAGAAGCTAAAACCTTTTATGAGCGCTCAACAATATGGTGTGAAGTGTGGAAAAGGGGCCAGTCTGCAGAACCTTACACATGCGTTCGTTGCCAATCTGCAGCAGAATTATGCGTCCACAGTGTCCACGGTGTTTCGCACGGGCGATAAAATTGCCCAAAATCAGCAGCTGCCACAAGCTCTAACAAAACTAGAGTTAGGCAAGTCGGATGCACCTTCGATGCCTTTTGTTTGCGTTCACTGTCTATCCCCTCTAGATTGTGCGTTGTCGGACACTCTGCTGGCCATTGAGTACTCGCGAGCAGTTTCTAAAGCGGGCACCAAATGCTTTGCAGCTGATGAGTTGGAAACGAAGGCCAAGCAACAATTAACAGTAGAACGAACACTTTGTCATGCATGCCGTAACATACAGGCAGAGTTTTCGGATGACAGTAGATTATAAATAACACACATTAGACACAACATATACAAATTGACTATAATTTGGATAACTTGGCGTTTACAGTTTCCTGTATTGGCATATGCCCATCCAGGGGCTCTACGTTAGAAGCTAACACTACATTGTGAAAATCGTAGACGATATAACGATTGTATTGCTTAACGCGCGCATTTACATTGTCGATTGTGCCGGGCAATATAATCGTTTCTCTGCACCTAGCCGGTTCTGTTACGTACAGCTCATCGCCGGGCAGCACCCCGATCATACAGTCATCGCATCGATAATAAACCGGCTGCAACAACGTTGTACCCTTTAGCGCACGCTCCCGAGAAAATTTGAGTAGCTCTAGCCAGCTATGGAAATGCATAAGTCGTGCTATATCATAGAGCAGCATAAAGGGCAGCCATATGATGCCAAGCTTCGAGCTTTGCGAACAATCTTTCGGATGCAGCCAGTGTGCTGAAGCAACCTCATTGGGTTCCAGCAGTAGAGGCACATCTGTTGACTCCATGGCGGAAAAATAGTAAACCGTATCGAATTTGCGTCTGGAAGTGGCTGTTGTGCGCCAAACGGACCACTCGCTAAGTGACCAGAGGTCGGGAATTACATTTAAGTGACGACACAACTGCAAAAACTGCTGTGCATCATCGTGAACGCGGTGCTGCCAGTATTCCCGCTTAAAAGTTTGCTCTACAACATGCACAGATTGATTAATGGACAAACCCTGGAGACTGTCCGGGGATCGGCAGAACAGCAGACCCACTTCTTCGAAAGCTTCACGCAGTGCGGTTAGACGTAACGAGATATCGCGTGAGAAATTCTGGCCAGCAGTCAATAAGTAGGGCCTGTCTTTGGTTTGTCTGCTATTTAATAGCTGCAGTTGTTCATTTGTAACACCACACTCGTGCTAAAATAAAATGGTCAAACGTATATAATATATACATATCTTTTAATACATGCCAAGTACGTAAGCCACTCTAGAGCTTCATCCGCATTCTCGTCGAAAGCGCCTCCAGGGAACACACAATGGTTCAGAGCATAGGAAGTGTGCTCCGTGCGCTTAACCAGCAGCAACTTATGAATATTTAAATATTAATCACTGGAAAGTGTTTTATTTTTACAATTTAGTACCTACTTTATAATCGTATTCAACTGCAGGGTTATGTGCATGTTTAGCAGCTAAAATTAAACTAGCCGAAGGACGATATTCTTTGTTGGGGATCATGGAAGAAAAGGCAGATTTGTAAACATTTGCACCTTTGAACGGTACTGCAAAGTTTGGGCTTATCAGATGTTTTCTGATTTATCGATAGCACAACCAGTTGCAGCAATTATCATAAAAAAAAGACGGAATTTTACATCCATTCAAAATTAATAAAATATTTGTAAAGATAAATGTTTGTTGTCTTATTTATGTGAGTAATTTTCATTCCACTTTTTAAGCTTGAATGTTTGCAGTTGCTAATTTTTTTAGCTTGAAAATGGCTAAAGTGGAACAACACTTTTGTAGCCCCATCAGCTGGCCCTATTCAGTGCCACCTGTTTGAAGCTTTGTTGTTGTTTTAAGTTTAGTTACCTCAATTATGTCGAAGCAACTACTGAGCAAAGTGCGCCAATCGGCAAGCTTAATTCTTTTCGCTAAAAGTAAAGGCGAGGCCGTAACAAGCTACGACTACAATGTTTGTCATCTGCATGTGATATTAGAACTGAATAAAGAAGTCTTTTTTACAGGTTCTGCTCTTTACCCGCACCTCAAAATCCAGCTTTATGCCCGATTCTTCAGTTTTCCCAGGGGGCGTTTGTGACGCGGCTGATAGCGCACCTTCTTGGTTAGCCCATTTTGAACGTTATGATGTAAGTGCTCGGAAATTGCGTGATTTTTTAAGCAGGAAGGCCGGAGGACCAGCTTCTAATGGGATAGACTCCATAGATACGTAAAGTATTCGGGTGCAAAAATGCAATCAAAATATGTAAGACTTATATGCATATATGTTAACTTTTATAGTGCACTATCCCTTCGGCTGACTGCCATACGTGAAACGTTTGAAGAAATGGGAATTCTCTTATGCAGGGACCTTAAAACATTTTCTAACACAAGTGGCTATGGACAGTTCCATGAGCAATTCGATGTTACTCATTGGCAAAAGGAGGTGCACAATGATGCAAACAAGTTTCTCACACTCTGCAAGGAATTGGAGGTGATACCAGATATTTGGTCGCTACATGATTGGTCCGCTTGGCGAACGCCCTCAACATTTACGAAACGCTTTCAAACAGCTTTCTTTTTAACTGCGCTTGAGGCAAAACCCAGCTTGCATGTCGAACCCATCGAGGTTAAAGACTATGCGGTAAGTCGTCTGCAATTTAAATACTATTTCTGCTGACCTATGCGGTGTACACTTTTTTTCTTAGTGGCGTTCACCATTGGAATATCTCCAGCGAGCGCTGGCTAAGCAGCTTTGGCTGCCACCACCACAGTTCTATGAGCTCTCTCGTTGTCTCAACTTTAAAACGCTGGAAACGTTGCGGGAATTTGCGGAGAAACGTGCTGACAAAGGTGTGGTGCTTTTTCATCCGGTTTTATTTAAATGTAGCGATGGGTGGGTTCAGCTGCTGCCTGGAGACGAAATGTATCCCGCCAATCCAGATGCTTCTAGTGAAAAAATTGAGACTGGCTTGAGTATTGCCGAATTTCGAGCTCAAGTGCAGGAATACAAGCCGCTACATCGCACCGAGCACAAAAACCAACATGAAAGCCAATTGTTAATTAATTTCGAGCCGGCTGATGGACAAGTGCAACCAATTGATGCACGTAAGTTACTTTAAGTTAAACATTTGTTTGATTTAAAATATTATTGGATCATAAAAAAGCAATAGAAGATGCACAATTATTTACATATTTAAGTAACTCCAATCCAGTTGAGTTTGCCAAATTGCATTTATTAGTTATAATTGATCGTTTTTAGTTAGTTGTTGTCTTTTTGTTAAACGCAATGCAATAACAAGAATTTTGAAACGTAAAAAGGTGCAATAAAAGAGTTAGACTCTAAGTGTTCAGCAGTTGTTTAATATGCCTCCTCAGGAGCTTCAAAGGATGCAGATTCATCGGACTCTTCGCTTGTGTCATCGCCACGTGGTCCGCGTGATCCACGACCACGAGGACGGCGTGGACCTTCGGGCCGCCTACCAGGTCCGCGAGAGCTAGTACCGCGTCTGCCAGGTCCGCCAGGTCCTCGTGATCGTCTCCATTTCTTGCATTCATCCAAAGTTTTTGCAATGTCCTTCTGGTTTTCTAGCAACAGACCAAGCTTCTCATCGATCTGCGCAGTATTTATCTGCACAGAGTTGACGGCAGCACCCAGAATGCTCAAACGTTCTGCTTGGGTGGCATTCAGGGATCGTACGCGAGAGTCCAAAATACTCACTTTGCGGCTGTTGACCTTGGTCAGTTCATTGATGCCATCCAGTTGGCCGACCTTGTCCACAATTTGTTTTTGGACCCGCTCTAGCTTCTTGGACGCCTTATCCAGTTCACTAATTTCACGCAACACGGACTGCTTGATAAGTCTGTCCAGCCCAGAAATGTTTTTTTGCACAGAATCGGACAAGGCATTTAGTTCACGCTCGTGCTTGTTCTGGTTGTCTTCCAAGTTAAGTAGCACCTTCTTGATGTCCTCTCCATTCTTATTCAAGTCGTTCAGCGCCTTGTTGGTCCTGTTGCTAGCATTTCTCACACTAATGGTAAGATTTTGGACGGCCGCGGCGTTTTTTGCCAAATTGATTGTAGTGTCTTTTTGCAACTTCCCCAAGCCGACCTCTACTCTCTGGATGCCCCTAAGTTGGTTGATTTGCTGGCTCAGTTTTTGGTCGATGCCCTTCTGGGAGTTGGCAATGCCAGCTGCCTGCTGACCCAGCTCCTTTAGAGATTCGCCGTTCTTCTGCACCAGAGCACGCACTTCGCGCAGCTCGTCCCGATGATCAGGGCGCCTTGAATCCGACCTGTCTGCTGTCACCACAGCACAGATCACTAACACAATCAGGAATCTTCTCATAGTGTTGCTGTTGCTTTCGTTTGCTTGCTCCACTAGAGACTGTCTGTGGTCAGCATGGACCGGGGTTTAAATACACAGCATTAACCTGCACGTGTCATAGTTGGACTCTGTTTATCGGCACTATGGGACTAGTTAAGACTTCCAAAATTTTCACACTATACCGCTATAATAGGTTGCTCCCACTTTAGCATGTGCGAGCGTTTCTAAATGTCTCTAATCTTCTACAGCAGCTGCTCATTTGAGTCGCACACACATTTTCATACATACGTGTGCATGTATGGACAGAACATCGCTGACCTAGGTCGTCTAATTTTGAATACACGATTGAAAAAAGAAATAGATGTCTGTGCCACCGGGAAACCACAAGCCTATGACCAACTGCTCCTATCAGTTCAACGACTTTAAACGACGCAGAATGCCGCGTCAATTGGGCCCAACTTGGGAAAATATTACGATAGGCACGTCTTAAGATTCTTTTTCGTAAATACTACATAAGTTATTTAACATATTGCCAAAAGAATTTGCATATGTATGTGTATGTGCATATGAAACCCCAACGATAGTCAAAACAAAGAGTGTGTCATTTGTAGTAATGTTTGTGATTGCAGCTCCCCACCTGCCCCCTAAATGAAGACTTTTAGTTCATTCATGTATCGAGATTTGTGTAAGTTTTCGTTTTTCAGGCGCCATTTCAACAATAACTAACAATGTGAGATAATCTAAATGTGATGGTGCCATTTCCAAAGATTTAATGGGATTTCTTTTCCCCAATTAGGGAGTTTACGGAAGAAAGAGATATTATAGATAAAATGCTACAATAATAATAATACCAACGAATTAAAATTAAAATGCGACTAAAGAAAACATTTCTTGGTGTTAGTTTCTTAGATGGCGGATATTGTTTAGTTTATAACATCGTCAAATGTTTTTTTGTTGTTGATCCGGCTTAAGACTATAAATCTGCATGAAGAGTTTTGCGGGCAATAGAGTTCTAATGAAGCTTGAGATGTTCACATTAAATGATTCATTATTCTACCATGCTACCGAGTATCATGTAACCGAAGTCCTTTATTTTAAATGCATACTCGAAACCAGATTTAAAGCCAGATGTGTCCGTATGTCAAGTTTTATCCAGATAGGCCTACTTTAAGGGAAGTTATAGCCGTAAATGTAATCTCAGCTAGTTTTATTTAAAGTCTTTCTTATCTTTTGGGCCTTTTCTAATTTTACAAATTTTTAAAATAATCTATCCTGTAGCCGCTTCCAATCCCGTATTTTTAGGGAAATTTTATTATTGTTCTTAGAGTCCAAGACTTCTTCATCTATTAAAGTCTCAGACTTCATTTCAATGAAATTTGATGACGCTATTGCAAATAATGTTTCATATAATTATTTTATATTATAATAAAAGCCTCTATGGGTTGCTTTTAAAAAAACTCGTCATCGGCATCATCGCTTAACTAACAGGCCCATTTTTCATATTAAAACTACATTATTGCAGAATGTATAGTCAAAATTTTACTTTTTGAACCTTCTTTCTTACGCAAGAGTTGTTATGTTAGCTACATTTCTGCAGCATTATCGAATCTGTAGGTCTATTATGTATAAAAGAAAACAAGGCTGGTAAATATGTTTTTAAATTGTTGTTTTGTATTTGAGTTAAAATAATATTTTAGTTGATGGAGGTGAATTTTTTCTAGAGATGTGGTTCGTAAGGGTAATTTTTCTATTCATTCGTAGTATTAACTTTTAGTTTAGTGGCTGGCTCCTTCAGCTGTCAGTTCCATTCCATTAAAATGGGGGAGCTCCGTACCAGATCACTTCCTCACCGCGAGGGTGCTTTGGTTTTGGGGCTGGGGCTGATCGATATAGGGGAACAGCTTCCCAGGGTAGAGGCTCTTGCCAAGACACAGCGTGGGCTGAAATGCCTTTACCAGACTTAGAAACACTGGCGTAATATGACTTTGGGTATCCATCTGGAATATAAATAGGAATCGGTAAAATAATTTGTGGAGATAAAGATTGAGGCTAGTGACAACTAACCGCTATGTCGCGACTCCTTAACTCTGTAGATCAGGCGCTTTTTAGATCCCTTACCTATTTTTGGCTTTTTATCTTCATCGCTGTCGGGGCGTGGGCGGTGTGGGGAGGGTTTATGGCCTGGCTGGCGCCCCTTATGAGGTGTATCATCCTTATCACAGTTGGGATGTGGTGTGGGCTTCCATGCTGGCTTTCCTCCCTTCTTGGATCCCTCCTCTTCACTGTCACGTCGTGGGCTTGGTCTGCGACCTGGCTTGGGGCCCTTTTTTGGTCCCTCCTCTTCACTGCTGTCACGTCGTGGGTGTGGCTTGCGACCTGGTTTGGGTCCCTCCTCTTCACTGCTGTCACGTCGTGGGCTTGGTCTGCGACCTGGCTTGGGGCCCTTTTTGGGTCCCTCCTCTTCACTGCTGTCACGTCGTGGGTATGGCTTGCGACCTGGTTTGGGTCCCTCCTCTTCACTGCTGTCTCGTCGTGGGCTTGGTCTGCGACCTGGCTTGAGTCCCTTCTTGGGTCCCTCCTCTTCACTGCTGTCACGTCGTGTGTGTGGCTTGCGACCAGGTTTGGGTCCCTTTTTGGAGTCCTCCTCTTCACTGCTGTCACGTCGTGGGCTTGGTCTGCGGCCTGGCTTGGGTCCCTTCTTGGGTCCCTCCTCTTCACTGCTGTCACGTCGTGGGTGTGGCTTGCGACCAGGTTTGGGTCCCTTTTTGGAGTCTTCCTCTTCGCTGCTGTCCCGTCGAGCGTATGGCTTGCGACCTGGCTTGGGTCCCTTTTTTGAGTCCTCCTCTTCGCAGTTGTCAGGACGTGGGCGGCGTGGGGAAGACTTGCGACTTGGCTTACGGCCCTTCTTTGGTTTGTCCTTGCGACCTGGGCGTTGGGGTTCTTCGCGTTTTGGCGGTTTCAGTCCTGGCAGACGTGAAGGTGGGCGTTTGTCGCATGCCTCTAAATCCAATTCGACGCGTTTCTGTGAGATTATGAGATCGCGCAGAGCTTGTTCAATTTCCCATGTCTTAATCGGAGTCAAACGCCTGACCGCGCTGGACAGTCCGTTAAGTCGCTCGTCCTGAGTCTGATTTAAGCTACGCAGCTGACCTTCCAAGCCGATAATTTTGATGTTCGAGTTCTCGGCGAGATTCTTCACACTTGCCAGATTCTTCAAGTCCACCTCAATGTTGACCTGTGATGTCTCGAGGCTATCAAAGGTGCATTGGAGGCCGTTCAATTTTGGCATTACTGCGCGTGTGATAAGTTTTGTCAGTTCCAGAATGCTACTATCAATTGTTTTTGCGCTAATAATAACGTGTTTAAGATTAGCCTCAAGTTTTTTCTCCAAACTACTGATCAAATCTTTCGTTTCGGACTGCAGGCGAGCCAAGTTCTCAATTTGGATTTTACGGGTAATGATTACGTGGCCAACCTTGTGCGTAATATTAGAAAGGGAAGTGATCACCCCTTCTGATTGTTCCTTGACCAAAGCACGCTGATTTGCCAGCTCTTCCTCGATTTTGTTAATGGTTCTAATTGCATCCTTTTGTTGAGCCAAATTTGCCTTTATTTGGTTATTTACAGAGTCAATGCTACGAAGAGAAAGATTGGTTTTATCCAGACTCTTAGCATTGTCCCTCAAGAGTTCTCTCAATCTTCTATCGTCAAAGCCAGGGCCACCACGAGGTGGGCCACCACGAGGAGGGCCACCACGCGGCGGACCACCACGAGGAGGGCCACCACGGGGCGGACCACCACGAGGAGGACCACCACGGGCTGGACCGCGAGTACCAATTTCTGCTTCTGTTTCCTCGGCTGGAGCTGCATCTGTTGAGATTTCCTCAGCTGAAAAATTTCCTTCTGGTGTTTTTCCTGGTACTGGCTTTAGTGCCGCGACAAGGCAGGCGCAGCCTGCCAATAAAATGGCAATGGCGATTTTCATTTTTTGAAAAGTAGCTGCTTGGATGCAACTGAAAGTTAGACTGTCTTTAAGCTCGGCTTGTAAGCTCTTAAATACTGTTGCTTTCGCCCTTGCACGTGTGTTTTCAAAATGACTTATCAGAGAACTTTTTGGTGTGCCAAATGGTCGCAAAATTGGTTTTTGTTCTACTTATGTATCTGCACACAATTGTTTGTTGAATTCTGCACGAACTTAGGATTTCTGAAAAAATGCAGCCTCACCATCGACCATTCCAACGTTGCAGCAGGAAACAGACCTTATAAGTAACGTTTTTATACTCTGCACATGAAATGTACAAGAGTATATTAGGGAGCCGAAAAATGTAACAGGCAGAAGGAGGAGTGGCAGACCCCACAAATCAGCATGACAAGACGAGCCGATCTATGTCTGCCTGTCTGTCTGTCTGTCCGTATGAACACCTGGATCTCAGAGACAATAAGAGATAGATACACAAAATTGCACAAAATATGCGTTATGTGCTATACGAGTTAGCGTTACTTTCCCTAAGGGTAATTTTCGGAAATGTCGTTTGTATAATCATCTATATCTCTGTGTTGCTTCTCCACTTGTTATTTAAACGCATCGTGCATTATTTAATATACATTTTAATTTCTTAGCCCCCTTTGGAAAAAAGTGCGAACGCCCTTGGAAATATAAATCAAATCGCAACAAAATAATAGACGTTGGAGTACAAAATAAAAGCATCGTTACTATCTTGCCAGACTTACTCTAAAAATCCCTTTGTCAATTGCCTGTCAACACTTATTCTAAACCGATGTTGATCAATACTTTTTGCAAAAGCCGAGGTAGTCGAAAATATTATTCCAGTTCAGCATTCAGTCGTTGGACTCCGCCGAGTGAGGACGTCCGCAATTTGTTTTGTTTCATTTTTAAATTAATTTTTTTATTTTAAATTCTTTACTAATATTTCGCGGGATGCTGATCTTCAGCTATTTTTTTTATTACGATTTTAATATTTATTTTTATAAAAATTAAGCCGAGAGCCTGTGACTGTATTGGAGTTGGCTTTGAAAAGCTCTGCCTTTTAATCTCACCCAATATGTCAGGGTTATGAATCGGTTCCAACGGTTGATTCTCATTGTTCTCAAAAACATGCGAAACTGTTATGTTGGTTTTTTCCAATCGAAGCCGCTCCACATCTGTCTGCGGCAAATTCGCCACCTCGGCCATTCCTTGTAGAAGTTCTTGGTCAGAGGCGGCAATTTCGCCCAATGCCGCCTGTGCAGCAACCTAAGGAATTGGATGATAACAATAGTTTTCCTTTATATAGTTGATTTTAAAATTGACAAATCGAAGCAATCAATGCAACCGGTCCAGTCTCCCTCTGTCGAAAAGACGCGCGGCGGTGGAACAAAATCATAATTTTTACCACTGTTGTAACGTTGTCCTCCCTTTTCTCCCGACCTGCCATCTCTTTTACCACTAGATACTACACCTGCACCGGCTGTGGGTGGGCAATTGTCATCAGCACTTATTTATTGGCGTATTTTTTTTAACTGCATCGCTAACATTTAGCTTGAAATTGACGTACACTTTCACCTCCAGATTGGACTTATCAATGTTAATTCATCAATCATCTATATCTCGGAGACTATAACACCTAGGGACACCAAATTTTATCCAAGATGCCTTATATGAATACACAGAATATTTATATTTTGGAAATTCCCTCACTTCCCCCTCTCCAATAAGTAATTTTCTATATCTCCCGCAATTCTTGGAATTTTTCATTCGAATTTGGCAAATACCTTGATAGGCCGATTTAACAGCAAGTTATAGCCAAATACGTATGTATATAATCTCAGGCCAAGTCCTGCCCGCAGCTGTTGTTGCTGCTGTGCACAAGCACACTGGACACACACAAACACGCATAATTATTATACACTTTTATACATAGTATTTTTTAAGTCGGGACCGACCCGACTTACTTGTTTTGTACTGATTAAATGTGTACACATGTACACAAATGTCCCGCAGTTTTTCGAACCATACAAGAGGAACACTGGTTGCAACAGCTGCTTACAAAATAACTGCCTGTTGCTGTTTTTATGGCAAGGGAGATGTTTATATCGCTTACAATTAAACATTGAGAGATGTCTGAGCAACAAAAAACTGTCAAATGGCGCACTTCGGCAAGTCTCATTATCGTAGCAAAAAACGTTGATAAATCAACCACAAAAAGTACCTACGATTACAATGTAAGTAGCTATGATAAAGAACTCCATAAACAAAGTCGTTAATACATACATACATGTATATATGTAATTTTAATTACGATTTAGTTGCTTATGCTAAAGCGCAGCGCCCAAACGGCAATTGTGCAAAATCAAGCAGTCTTTCCCGGCGGCTTGCTGGATACTACCGCCGATGAAAACGTTTCCTGGTTGCAGTATTTCGAAGAATTTGGTGTGCCGCAGGATGCACTGCGTCAACTAGTGCTGATTTCAGATCACAGGCCTAGCATTTTGGCCCCGCAGGGCACAGGTTGCTATGATCGCTTTTTTAAACGTTCACACATATGGGCGCGGTGAGTCCAAAGTGCATACCACAAGCAAAGTATAAAGATTGTTCGATTACAGTGAGATTACGCTCCGGTTGACTGCATTGCGTGAATGTTTTGAGGAGGTGGGCGTTTTGTTGTGCCGCACGCGCGCACAATTGGCGCAGGTAGAAGCAACTGGCAGTATATTTAAGGAAGATTTCTGGGATCGTGAGATCTGGCAGCAGCGCGTTCATAATAAACCTAGCGATTTTCTGAAGCTGTGCCGGAAACTACAAGTTGTGCCGGATCTCTGGGCCTTGCATGAATGGTCCGCTTGGGCAAGTCCAGCGATCGTGAGGAAAGGGTAAGCTCCAAGATAGATTGTAGTTAGAACTAAACGATCTTGATTTTTGGGTTGTTAGCTACGAAACAGTTTTCTTCATCGCTTTTGTGGAAAAGCAACCCAATCTGCTGGCCGAGGAGTCGGAAGTCAAAGAGTGTTTGGTAAGCATTGAGCACAATTAGCTTTATTTTATTTTCCTTGATCAGACTCTTATTGCAGTGGCGAACGCCAACGGAGCTGCTGAGTTTGGCTCGACTTGGTGAGCTTTGGTTCTTGCCCCCACAAATTTACGAACTATCCCGCCTGCTAGCAATCAGAAGTTATTATGATTTATTAAAGTTTGCCCGGCATCGAAGCAAATTGGGCACAACATTGTTTATGCCTATTAGTTATATGTGTAGTGACAATTTAGTAAATGTGTTGCCAGGTAAAGATAAACATTATAGCAAGAAACGTATCTAACTTTTGTTGCACCTGCAGGAGACGATTTCTATTTGGCAGAGCCGCACTTAGTTACAAATGTGATTAGCTTTGAAGGCACAGTTGACGAATTTCACAAACGTGCCAAAAAATTACACCGATTGGAGAACTTTGGCACACCAGCAGTTCAGTTTCATTTAAACTTTCCACCGCCCAATGGACATTTGCCACCGCTAACTTTATCAACCGTGTTAAATAAATTATAATGAAATGGCTTTATCTATCACTATCGTTAAGTCAGATTAAGGGGTGTACGGGATTAATTATTTAAAGAATAATTTTTACTTCTAAGAATGTGCGCTGAATCACTGGGGAAGTGGCGCGATGCGGCCACTCTTATCATAGCAGCACGCTGCACTGTCGAGAGTCAAAAAGAATATGATTATCAGGCAAGTTTCATCTTTATTCTTTATATTTCATATTCATATTCATCTGGAATTTTTACAGCTGTTGATGACCACGCGAGCTAGACGCACCGCATTGGCAGCCAATCATTGCGTATTCCCCGGCGGCGTTCTGGACAAGCAAGGCGATGAGAACGCTGAATGGTTACAGTATTTCGAACAGTTTGGAGTAAGCGATGATATGTTGCAGGCACTGATAATTAAACAAATATTTCAATGTTCTGAAGTTAATTGTGCGCGGTAAGATACATACCTTTTTAACTGAAAGACAAGATTTTCATTTATTATATCCTTTAGTGAGCTAAGCATTCGACTTAAAGCAATACGTGAGACTTTTGAAGAGGTGGGTCTGCTTCTTTGTCGGTCTCGTGAGCAGTTAAGAGATAAAGCTCCAGCAGCTTTTTGCTTAATGATTTTTCGCTCCATTGTTGGCAAAACCGCGTGCATGAAGATCCCAGGGAGTTTCTGCAGCTTTGCAGAGCATTGCAGGTTGTGCCTGACTTGTGGGCACTACGCGAATGGGCTGTGTGGGCAAGTCCGCCTAGTCTAAAAAAGCGTTATATTGGCGCTTTCTTTATAACTTTTCTGGATGGGCAACCCGTCAGTTTAGCGTGGTTCGGCTAGGTGGAAAAGTGTCTGGTAAGTTGCATTTCAAATTCAGAACTAAAAATAATATATTAAAAATGAATGCGTTTCAAACACCACAATTAGAAAACTTATAAGTACGACCTTGAACAATAAATGTTTTTGGCGAACTAAAAATTACATAACTTGCAAAATAAATTAGTTATGTATAAAAGCATTCTTATTATTTGCATAAGACAGACATATTTGTTATAATGAAACAAATTAGAAAATATACAAAATAGAATATGGGCATTTTAACTTAAGCGTTAAACCAAAGTTTCTTAATCTTTCAAATATTTTGACAAATAATTCTTTGTCTGACCGTGATTAAAATTCGATGATTTATATGTGTACTCTATGAACTATTTTCAATTTTTAAAATTACTTTTTTGCGGTGGCAAAAACCACTGGATTTTCTACAATGCCCTGCAGACGGAGCGCTTCGGCTTCAGGCTCCTCAAAGAACTGTCCCGTTTGCTGAACATCAAAAATATTCAGTTTTTACGGAGATTTGCGAGTGAGCGTTGCAGTTTGGGCTCCTTAGTGCATTGGCCGGTAGAAAATCAATGCAGTGACGCTTTGGTCACAATCTATTCTGGCGATGATTTGGAGCCAGAATAGATTATGGGACTACTTCAATTTGATGGCACTGCGGCAGAGTTTCGGACACGTGTCCAACGCCTGCACCGCAGGCCTGCCGAGCAGGCAGCTGGTGATGGACACCAATTTGCGTACCATTTAAACATTGTGCCTTTGCATGGTCATTTGTGTCCCCAACAGCAGCTGGGAGCTCTGCTTTAGCGTAGATAAGATTTTTAATGTGGCCCGCGAAAGTGTGCGCTACAAATTGTTGTAAGAAATTATTTTAAGCGGATTTGGTGGCCATCAAATTTGATGTTGGGCTCTAGCTGGGATCTTTAATTATGATTTGATAGGCGCCGTTTTATTTTTAATTAAAAAAAGTATACATTCAGTAAGCTTAATTTCTGAGCTGTGTTAAAAGAGTACTACATGCAAAATATGTTCGCGTTTAAGTCCCAAATTTCTTACTTAATAAACTTAAAATGCTACCCCATTCAAGACACCCCCTCAAGTGCACATCAAAAGCGCAAATATTCATGCATATTCATGGGAATTCAGGGGGCGTTTCCAGCTGAAGACCCTAAGCACTTTAAAGCCAGTCGGTTACACTGGTTTTGTGGGCTGTGGGTTGTGCAGCTTTTGTGTGAAGCCGCAAATCAGACAGCACATAATTTTATCCCATTATGAATGCATTTAAATCACTTTGTCTAGCAGACAGCGCCCACAAATACACACCCCACCTACATCCGCCACCTGCCGTGTGACTTTGGCCGCTTTACTCCCCAATCCGACTGCTCGATTTAAAATCAAAAACTCAACAATCTTGCTCATTCGCATCCAATGCCTAACTGGTGCGTGTCTGCGTGCCTGCTTGCCTGTTTGTTGGGCATTGTGTGCCACCCCTGCTTCTGTTTTTGTTTCTACTCCTGCTGCCAGGATAAGAGGGGGATGCTTTGGTCTCGGTTTTGGTCTGGCCTGTGCCGGTGGTAACAATTACTTCGTTTAATTTAACCTTTTGTGGGTTTTCCGGCGTTTATGATGCGCCGTGTTCATTTAATATCGATTAATTATGCTATTATGTGTACAGGAAGTTGCCATTATTAGACAATTACTGTAAATAGATGTTGCCGCCCATTCACAATGGAGACGGAATGCAGCTTTAGACTTGCTCTTTTAAATATCTTAATTAATTGCCAGGCGCCACTTGTGGGTCCAACTTTAGGAAAGCTGCTCATAAATTAGAAAATAAATTAAAATATATGCAAAATACCAGAAACGTCGTGCAGCCAGGCGTGAGTTATGGGCGTCACTTGGCAAAGCCGCTTAAAATGTAATAAGATGCCACACAGTGTAGCTGGTGGAGTTCGCAAAATTAGCCAAGCAGCAAACGCTGCTGATTCGGATGCGGAAGAAGATGCGGCGGGACAGGTGTGGCAATCTAGTCTGATTTATGTTTGCAAGTTGTGGTGTCTTCTCAAAGACAAGGCAACGACGACGACTCAACACCCACATCGTAATTGAATTTTGAATTAATTTTCAACTCCACAATCATAACCCCACCCCCAACACATAATGCTGATTTAGGTGGCAACTGATAAGTAGGATGAGCTTGGAAATTGGCGTATTAATTGCCTAGCCCGCAGGCATAGTCTGCGACAAGCAGGCGAAAATGCATATCACGTACTTTTTCGACCACCAAGACAGCCAATTATAGTGATTATTATGGTCAAACTATAGACGGAACAGGGCGATGACAAGTTGCTGCAAGTGACATGAATACCAAAATTACCGTTACTTTTCGATGACAATAATCAATGACGAGTCACATCTAATTGGGAAATCACAATGCCGGCAGCGGCATTCTGTGAATTCGAATTTCGCTATCATTAAAAACGCCACAGACTTCCCACGGGTATAACTAAACACAAACTCTTACACACACAATTGTAACAACCCTGTAGTAACGGGCGCCCACCCCTCGCCGGTTGATCAGCTGACCCCTTATTTAAGGTAATCCCAAACAAATTGTACATTTAATTTCCCCATTTCCAGTTTATGCTCGACATGGTAGTCCGTTAGTCGGTACAAATTGTACCATATATGTATATATGTATATATTTTGGTTTCATTTGATTTTAATATTGATATTTTAATATTCGTTCTATTAATGATCGTTCAAATGCAGTTGACGAGCGCTTCTCTTCCACGATGGAATCAATATATCAATTGTTAAGAAAGTTATAACCATAAATGTAATCTAATGCTTTCTATCATCTAATGCTGTTAAAACAGTACATAAAGAAATGTCTCTACTTATGCATGTATTGAATATTTATTATTTTATTTTATTCATTAATTTTTTAAAACTCAATTTTGAAACAAAATGTGTATGCCCTATACCCATAGGGTAAAAGGATATACTAGTTTTATTTATTTTTGGGAGGGTAATAAAGAGGTCATCCCGTTCGACTCTTTGTTTTCTTGTTATGGCTTGTACCCAAAGGGTAAAAGGGTATACTAGTTTTATTAAAATTTTTACAGAGAGTACAACCTGCTATTAAGGTTACCTCAAAAGGTAAACAATTACCGTTCTTTTTTATTGCATTCCCTTTGGGTTATCGGCTTCTTTCAAATCTCTTTTGAGTCGACTCCTAGTTACCCAGAATATCGCTGATTTGAGGCACTAACTGGCCCTTACAGAACTACAAGGTAGTAGTGTGCCGAAAAGCCTGCTCCACACAGCAAGAGATTTATTTTTATTTTGTGTGCATTGTTTGCACTCGACTTTAAGTCACAACTCCCGGCGTTACACTCCAATTGCCAGTCTCCTCATCCCCATATTTTTTTTCGTTCGTTCAAATGAGTATTACCGTAATAAATCGCCGCAATTCATTTAAAGGACAAACCAAAACCAGCAGCAACATCCTCCAGCCAACCCTTAAATCACCAGCCAAGCAATTCAAGTGCAAACTGTTGATGAACACAAGCAAGCACACACGCTCAATGAGCAACCCTCCCCCTTAACACCCAGTGAGCAGTGCAGCCTGTGAACCTGCTAAGGCATTTCCAACTTTCATGTCAATTGTCACAGCCACTGGGGAAATGTTTGCCACTAACAGCTTCATCCTAGGCAGGACTCTCAATTGTCGGCAGCTTGTATTTTTCTGCTGTCGTACAAATTGCATCAATTGACTTGCGTGTTCAACATAATGGCAATTGTGTGTGTGTGCTTGTGTGTACTTGTGGGTGGTGGTGAAGACAGCAAGACTAATGGGCTACACGATTTTCTAATGATTTCTTTATTTTGTCGCCTTTATTTATGGTTAACATTGTTCTTGCAGGTGAAAGGTGCCGGTGTGGATGACATAAATATCAGTTTTAATTTATCTGAACGTTAATGCAAGGACTTTCGGCCATAACTAAACTATTAAACTATCAAAAGGTATTATCGTCAGCAGGTATGCAATATTTTCAGAAAAATATTATTAGAATGCTACTTTCTAACATTTCTGATAGTTTTTAAATTAATTTAATTTTATAATTTTGTACAAAATGTATTGATTCCTTTAATGTTGTATAAATATAATAATAAATTACTACGTAAATATTCGTAGACTTTTTATAATTAATAATTTTGAATAATTCCACTGCAAAACTAAAAAATTATGTATACAATTTATAAATATACGACATATGGACTAAAAATTGTTAAAGAATAATAGAAACATTTACATATATTGTCTGAATGACTTTCTATTCTAAATATTTAATTCTTTTATTGGGAGGATTGCAGGGCTGCAAATATTGTATATACTATCTGTTGCATGGAGAATAAAAACTTTAAAGTGTGTACATACTGGCAATCCCACTCAAATATATCAGCAAAAAAAAAACTAACAAAATACAGTAAGCAACAGCGAAACAATTACGGCAACAAACTGCAGGTGTCGTTTCTGTTTGCATAGGAAGAGATTCACAAAGATAACCCGCAAAGATACACACAAACCAAAATGCAATATGCATACACAGGTAAGTCCTTTCCAATCCATATCAACGTACATACATATGTATGTACATTTATAGATACATAAGTACTATGTACAAGTATGTATACATATCAAATTCGCACATACACAACGTGCCTGGAAGGTATTCGGTTTTCCTTATAATTGAAAACCAGGCAGCTACCTCCACACTACACTTTATGTTCACACACACGAAACACACAGGGATGCACTTACAACCAACATACATACACATACATATATGTATGTATGTATGTATGCCTGGACGGGGCGTTCCTGTTTTCGCCAAATATGAATTATGCGCCTGCTCCAACATACACTTGTTATCGTGAATGTTGTTGTTGCTGTTTTATTGTTGCTCCACTTGCCTTCTCGTTAATTTCTATTGCAAAAACCCTCGTGCTTCGCCTCTCCCTCTCCATTTACATATTCGCACCTTCGTAAACGCCATTATTGCGCTGTAGGGAGCAGCGGTGTCCCCCAGCCGCAGCACTCATCACTTGCCATTCGTTTTCCAGTTTTGGACCTGCGCAAAAGCAACGCTGGGAAATAATTTTTTGGACACCGTCGCACTGTCTGGCGGCCAGTTGGGGGCGGGGGGAGGGGTCGTTATTTTGTTGTCACGGATTTCAATTGCATTCCATGGAAAAGCGACTCACATATACATACATACAACATGCATACATATTTACATACAAACAAGTCTCCGCTATGTGCAAAATTGCAATTTCATTAGCGTCGGCGACGTAGTCGTCACTTTTAGAATTTTTCTCTTGGCGGTGCAAAAACTTTGACCTTGTAACTTCTTTTTAATTATGATTGTGAAAGCAATTTTTATTGCTTTTCATTGTAGTGCAATGCATTGGGATTGTACGGAAGTTAGATTGGAGCGCCATCACCCAAAATCTAAAAATAATAACACTACATTGAAATTTTACCTGAATGAACTTTTTATGAATAAATATAAATATAACAAAATATCATATTTACATACATACATATATCAAAATGTTTTTTTCAGTTGACTCTTAAATTGATAGACAAGAAACACAGCCAAAAAGTTAATTTCAACTGAATTAAGTTTTTTGCTTTTGTTATAATAAAATGTTGTTCCATTATAAAAGAATATCTATTTTCTTAACAAAGAAGTTATTTATCACAATTAATATTTGGATATCATATTTGCTGGGATAACTATGTTCATACAAGTAGTTCTAAAAATAAAACCAAATTATTTAAGTATTATTATATAAAAGATTTTTTTTTGAAATTAATAATCCGATTTGTTGGTGGCATTTTATTTACTCTTCAGTCAATTATGTCGATCAACTCCAAAAATATCAAGGGCGTTTTTCAAACTAAAAAATAAAGCTTAAATATAATGTTAAAAATTAGAAACATAAAAGAGTTACTAAGATATAAATTAATCTAAACAATGCAAATAAAAATTAAAAATTTGAATAACGTATTAAATTTCAAGAAAAAAGTAATACAATTATTTTTAATTCTAAATTAACAATTATATGCAACATTTTATGAAACCGTTCAACCGTCTGCTTGCCTCCATTTATACAGAGAAAATTCAACCCTTTCTTGGAATGAAATCGTAGCATAAAGCCTAATTCAATTAGTATTTGTTAATTTAATATAAAAGTACTTTGTATTTAAAAGCCTCCTTCCTAAAAAATTATATGCTGCGATCACAATAGAGTTGACACTGACCATTTCGTTCTTTCTGCCATGTGGAGAAAATTCAATTTAGAAAATATATGTAGGTCTACCTCATTTTTCGGCTCAAAATGTTAAATATTTTATGCCTCGCCCTTTCTTCTAATTGTGCGATCAAACATGACAAACTCTGGACGAACTTAAGCATATGGAGCAATTGCTAAGCAAATGAAAACTTTCTTATCGCTATCACTAACATCTAAAACTCCCAATCAACTTCAGCAGCTGTCATTGCTGCGCGCAAAAACTAAACCACATACAAAGATGTTGCCCAAGACAAGGAGCACCCTTTTCAAAACTAATAACCCCAAACCGGCTCCTCAAACCTATACAAATTTGGGCATTTCAATTTTCCTGCATTATACGGATGTGGAGAGAGTCTCATATTTCGATTGTAATGCCGGCAACATTTAAGAAACCATAAATTTGACGGCAATAACGGATAAAGTATGTTTATTTCGATATTAGGCTAAGCAATGCTTCCATAAAAAAAGGGGTAGGAAAAGGCAAAGAAAAATTGAGACAGAGACAGTGGGGTGAGGAAACGGCGGGATGGGCACTTTCTCAAAAACTCCTTAACACTTGATTTAACTTTTTGACTATGTCATGGCAGGCCATGGCCTGGCTGGGGTTTAAAATTGCGACGTGTGCGCGGCATATGAATATGAATTGTAATGGATTTAGATAGGGATCAGAGAGACACGGACACAGACACGGACTGAAAGGAGCAGCACAGCCGTAAAATCTTACAAATCGACAAAGGCAACTTACAGCATTTGGATTTGAAAGGAAAGCCACTGTTGTGCGACATGAAAGCGAACATTTTCACAAAAAGAAATGTCAAACCGAGAAATTAATTTCTTTCTATATGTAATAATAAAAATGCAATAAGTATTGTATAAATAAATATATTTTTGTGTCCACCTAAGCTTCTCTTTAGCCAAATGAGTTTCGTTAAGTCGTCAGACATTTCAATTTGATTCTCAAGTGGATCGGTCAAGCAATTTTTCAGAATGTGGGGCTTTAAATTTCCTCAAAGGCGCTGCTTCTCTGAAATGTTTTGAACAATTTTTTTTTTTGAGCTATTGAGCGTATCAAATGTGACACCGGCAACGTTTTTTCGCTTTTTTCTTTTCCTGTTCAAAAATGTTATAAATTATATGGCACTTGCCACGTGTCGTTGATTGTGTGCAACAACAGCAGCAGCCGCATCTCAGGAGAAGTGTGAAAAATTTCGGCAAGTCGCACACTTCAAGGACTCTAATATGGGCAACACGCCCAACGTCCTGCCAGTTGATGCGTAAAATATTTTTTCTTGCTCCATGGCAAAAAATTTAATTCGTGCGGAAATTCAGTCAATTTAAAAGGCACACATAGACCACACACACACACGCACACACACACACACATATCGCACATATAGTACGAGTATGTATGAGGGCGAGCACCAGTTCGGGAGACGCATTGACGTAACACGCCCCTTTTGGCAGGGTTCATTGTATCCTTTTGTATGAGACGACGACGATGCCATGCCACTGCTGCTTAATCCGTTTTATTGTGGTAATAAAACTACAATACAAATTGTTTGAATGAGATTGAACAACATTTGAATTGAGCATGAAATGATGCCGGTTTCTTGATTTCTCTGCTGGTTGGCCAAAGGCCTACAACAGACGCTTGCCGCCGTTGTTGCTGTTGTTGCTATGGCTGTCGATATTTATAGATTTTTTCTGCTTTTTTCGAAAATAGTTATTTCTGTTGTTGTTGTTGGCGTTTAGCAAAACGTAATGTGGAAGAACAGCATCTGTAGGTAAAGGAACCTTGAAAGTGGTTTGCTTCTCAGACGTATCTTTAAAGTCAACCCACGTGCTGCCTGCTTTGCACAATTTCCAAAATGTTTCAAGGAGAGATGGTTCTAGGCAAATACAAATTATAATACCTATAATATGTAATAACATTTGATGTGCTTTTATGAAATGGTGAATTAACGTTAAGTATTTAAAATCAGCTTTTTATCTGTTCCTTGGAGCATGAGTTTTTGCATATCAAATTTAGACCATTTTCGTGTTTGAAAATGAGATAGAATTATTATTGAAACAAAAAAAAAAGATACATAATATTCATCCGTTATAATTATAGAGCCACATAAATAGACAAACACATAAATACGCAAACAAATTGCTCTTATTCAAAAAATATATTTCCTTTTGTCAGATAAATGTACCCTGGAAATTATAAGTTGTATTTCTATTTTCAGAAAAATTAACTGTGTCTTAGCAAACAATTTGTATTTTTGTTAGAAATGTGGCAATAAGACAAAAAGATCTTGGCATACCTAAAAATTAATATTTAAAATGTAGAAGAACAGAATTTTAAATGAAGTTTGCAACATATAAGTTAAAAAAGATTGCTTTGGTTTTTTAACATACTTATATTGATGTAGAGCGACAAAGTTTTCTATATAGAAATAGGTTTAAATATACATACTTGCATATATTTTTTTTAATTTTTAATACATAAGTTAACAGTAAACAAGAAAGGAATGCTAAAGTCGAGCAGGCTCAACTCTCAAATACCCTGTACCACCCCACAAAAAAGAAATTAAATTAAATTAATTAATGAATTTAATTTAATGAAATTAATTAACTAAATTAATTTAATTAAATAACTAAATTAAATATAAAATATTCCACGCATGCATACATACATTTACATCAGAATCGTGCCTTATGTGTGTTTGTGTACTTGTACATATGTATGTATGTGTGCATTGAGCCTGGTTATATGGCTATAACTTTTTTTCTGATCAACCTATCATAATACGGATATATAATTACTAACTGGATGTGTCT